TAAGAAAATGATAATTTGAATTCAGATTTGGGAGGAAATTAGGAATATTTTATTAAGGGAAAAATGACTAATTTGAATTTAGATTTGAGAGGGAAATATCCCTTTTTTCACATTTAGTGGATTGGCATACCATGAACTTCCTCATCACCTCGAGATATGGGAGAAAAATATGATGGTTTATGTAAGGGTCAATGTTTAAAATTGCATATTCGGGTATTGAGGTGTTTTTCATTCGTGAGGCGAGGCGTAAGCTTCAAGGCGTTTTGATGCGTAAGCCTCAAGGCGTTTTGATGCATAAGCCTCAAAATCAAAAATTGCGTAAACATAAAATGATAAATTTTTTATATACTAATGAGTGCATAATATAAAACATAAAAAAGCATAAGATATGAAGTGAAATCAAAATATCTCAATAATAAGACAACATGAAATATAGTTCAACTCAAAATTATATCATTCCCAGATCCCAGTATTCTTTTCATTAACATATAATTCCAAATTCTAAAAATAAATAGCAATGACATATCACATAAGAACTCATAAGTCATTATGCCTCATGCCAGTGAGGCGAGGCGGGCCTTAAGCTAGGCCTCAACCAAGTTGAGGTGCAAGCCTCATAACAAAAACTCGAGGCGTAAGCATCGAGGCGTTTTTTACTGGAATTGCGCAAAGGCGGGCCTCAAGACGAGCCTCATATTGTGCAATTTTAAACCATGGTAAGGGTAATTAGGTTATTTTATTTTGGGAGAATGTGATTTATGCTTGTTGTACTTTTCTTAATAGTTGTTCCTAACGATGTCTAGGGTTTGTGGGAGAGTTGATCTACATCTCGAATAATAGATCGATTGTATCTTTCATTATTGTTGAAGTATTATTCAAAATTAGCTCCTATCTTCAAATTCATACAATTTTATACTTACTACCTTGTTTTTACTTCCAAATGCATCAGTCAAATTTAAACTCTAACAATTTTCATTTGAATAGATCTAAAATTGAATACATAGAGTGAAATTTTAGTATTAATAAATCTAGTGGTGGGATTATTACTTTGGGTGATAAAGTCGTTAAAAAAAGTGCATGTTTTAGACATCTCTGGTCTATTGTTCAAAACAATGGTGAAATAGATGGAGATATTATTAGTATAATTCAAGTTGGATGGTTGGGGAGGAATGCATCGAGTTGTTTGTGTGATAGAAAAGTGTCTCTCAAACTGAAGAGAAGACTTAATAAGATGGTGGTAAGACCTGCAATGTTTTATGACATTGAATGTTGGCCATTAAAGAGAAGCATAAAATTAAGTTAAGGGTTGCAAAGATGAAGATGCTTAGGTGGATGAGTAACTTTACACTTAAGGATAGAATGTGAAATAAGTATATACGTGAAAAGGTTGGAGTAGCTCCAGTGGCAGTAAGATTAAAGAGAGTGACCTTAGATGGTTTGGTCACATAAAAAGTCGTCTTTCGATGACCTAGTTAGGAGAGTAGATGTATTAGATCGGGTCTATGTTAAGAAGGGTAGAGATAGACCTAAAAAAGACTTTATAAGAAAGCATTAGAAATGACATTTGTTTATTACATTTAAATGAAAATTTAACTCTTAATAGGACACGATGGAGAAAATTGATTCATGTAGTTGATCCCACGTAATGGGATAAAGGTTTGATGTTATTTTTGTTGTTGCATGACTATATATATATATATATATTGCAAGTCTCATAAATAAACTAAACTAATTGAAATAAGAAAATGCATGGTCGGACTCAAAGAGATCCTATAGGAGTGGGAAGGGGTTGTGCTCTACTTGAAAAAATAATCAAAGATGAAGATAAATTCTTATGCTTACTTCTTATTGGGTTGTTTTGACATTTAGTCAATAACAAAAACAAACAGAAGCTCATGTGTTTAGTTTGAGATAAAGTTGCTTTCTACATGGAGAAAATTGAAGACAAAGAGAAGCTCCTATCTTCAGCTTAGGATAGGGTTGTGCTTGCCTCATAGAGGATATAAAGATTTGGAAGAGAGAGCTGAGCCATTGAGATCGTGTGGCTTTCATAACGCCATTTACACTTTTCACATGAGAGTTTGCTAGAGAGATTGACTTAGGAGAAGGTAATACGAGGAATCAAGCAAGAAAAGGAGTTTAAAGGGGTTTTAAACAAAAAACTAAGTTTAAAAAAAAATCATTCAAATAGAAAAACAGAATATGATAGCTTTTATTTAATTTTAAAAAATATATATAAAGCAAGAGCTATGAGTAAAATGTGTTATGCGCCATACCGCATCAATAATGATCATAGCATCTGCTATTTGACTATTTACGCATTATTATGCCAATAGAAAAGACATGTGCATCGTTACATGATGGGCCTATTTAATTCTATTGACATGCATACCAAATATATAGCTTTGAAATCTTAAATAAATATTTTTTTAAGTTATTTATGTGTCAATTTAACTATACTTTTTACCCACACGCATAAAGCATGTGTGTTACTTGTTATTCTCCTAAAAAATCATTGATAGGTTCATTAAATATATCAAAGAATTCATAATAGTTATCTTCCATTAACAAGACCAGTAAAGCATAATAAATAACCAATTATCGTTCTCCAAATGCTTTAATTTTGATCTTCTAAGTTAGCAAGCACTCAGTAGATTATTTGCCGACCAAAAATTCACTAATATGACCCATAAGTTTTTAGAAGTTTCATAAAAATAGTTAACAATCAAAGGTGTTTTACGGTTATAAAAAATAGAACAAGCCATAAGTCCAAATGATTTACTAAGCTCAAGCCTTCCCCCTAACCTAACTCCCCCCTTTAAAATATTTGTGACACTTTCCTATAAGTAAACATTTGTGGCATATTGGTGTGTGACAAAAGAGATAGTAATGGAGGAGACTGTGTGATTAAGCCATCCATTCGTCTTCACTACATTACTTTATCTTTTCCATTCTCTACCCTCTCTTGCTATTCAATGAGAAACACCTACATAATCCTTCCCAGGTCTTCCTTGGCCCGAATGCCACAAGTCCAGTGACAAAGCACATGCACTGGGATAATTTGACAATACTGGAGTGCTGTCAGGGAAAACTTTATTGAGGTTCTATCGAAAAAACTACAGTGAAAAGATGGAAACCAAATTAAATATTTCTATAGAATTATTTTGTCCTTGCATTAGTCTTTAACAGCACAGATAAGAAGTTCCTGAAGAAGCTATCTAAACCTTCTTATGAATTGTTAAAATCCAAACCATACCTTGGACCTTAATCCCATGGGGATCCATGGGAGGCTCACCTGGATCATGCTGTTAAATCTCAGTCATCCCTTGACCCTTGATCCCACGGCTAGCATGGGGACCCATGGAAGGCTCACCAAGATCACATCGATCTCCTTCTATATTTGGATGGCTGATTTAGAAAGGATTACATTAAGGCAATTATACATGATTCTGAAGTTATTTGTTTCTTTATTAAAACATCTTGTATATATCAATAAATAGAGATAGTTTTGTGTAATAAAATTAAACATTCTCCCTATCAAATTCTCTGAATTTAACATGATATCAAAACCAGATTCCCACCACCAACCTTCATTGTCGGAATTCTAAGGAATATAGGTTTTCACCACCAGTCATCATTGTTGAAATTTTGAGGAGTACAGGCTCCCACCATCTACCGTCATTGCCAAAATTCTGAGGAATACAAGTTCCCACCACCAGCCTTCACTGCTAGAATTATGAGGAATATAGGTTCCCACCACTGACTTTCATTGCCAAAATTCTGAGGAATATTGGTCCTTCCACCGGCCTTCATTGCTAGAATTCTAAGGAATATTGGTCCTGCTTCTTCCTTCACGTGTCCAAGACTAAGGAGAGATTAAGTGGGAGGGCTCCTCTCACATGCAACGTCCAGAGTTGACTAAGCAGAAATAAGAGAAGTCGAGCGCAGGCCTCCTCTTGTCTACGTATGGAAAGAGCTGAGAGTTCCCTCTTGTGAGGGTTTAGGGCCGAGACAAGCAAGAGTACAAGACTTGCACTCCTTCCTGCGATCAAACCAAAGGGGGATCAGAGGCCTTGTATGTGCATGCACGAGGTTGATCGAACAAAAGTGTTCAGGTGGTATCAGATGATTTATTTGCATTGGGCTGAAGACTGGCTCGATCGAACAGGAGGAGATTTGCGTGCCAAGTCCTGAGCCGATGGGGACGTATTTTTCTGCTGATGTCCTTGAAAATTTTCGCAACTCTAAAAACATTTTTTTCCTATTGTTGTGCCTTCATTGTCAGCCTTCCCTTGTGGTTGTTATCCTATCAATAACCAATGTAGTCTTCATTACTTAATGCTTAATATAGCTTTCATTGCTAACATTTGCCACTGCAATGTCGGAAGTTAATTTTTCCCAAAGTTTTGATAAAATTGAGGACTCTAAAGGGACTTGATAACTCTATTTTTCTCAGACTAATTATCAAGCTATGAATGACAAATTGTATTCCCCAACTTGAGGGAAAGTGTTAAAATCTCAACCATCTCTTGGCCCTTGATCCCACGAACGACATGGGATCTGTGGGAAGCTCGCCTAGATCACACTATTAAATCTCAACCATCCCTTGGCCCATGATCACATGGCTAGCATGGGGATCTGTGGAAGGCTCAATTGGATCAGACCGATCTCCATCTATACTTGGGTGGCTGATTTAGGAAGGATTATATTAAGGTAATTATGCATGATTCTGCAATTATTTGTTTTTTAATTAAGACATCTTATATAGATCTATAAATAGGAATAGCTATGTGCAATATAATTAAGCTTTTTCCGTCTCAAATTCTCTGAATTTACATGAACTTAAGACACCTGCCGTTGGATTTTTAGTGCAGGAGTTTAATAATGATCTTTCCAAAGTTGAAGGACCTAAGTGTAATATAACTCTTTATTCAAACAAAAAAGTAAACTTAACTAGCTTAAGTAAGACTTCACTTTTGGATCGCATTTAAGCATATTACCTCAAGCATCGAACTAAGCTCTCAGCTGCAGAAGCTTCTTGTAGTGCCTCAATAGCAGCAAGTTGTGCGGCATCCCTGTATCTCATAACTTCCTAAAACAGAGAATATTTGTTAAAGAAAAGAAAATGTTGAAATAGAAAGGCATGGCAAAATTCGGAAAAATTATATTTATCAAATTAAAGAGCATATATATAATGGTACATGTTAAACCTTTCCAAGTTTCACTAGGGGCAGTGGAAGAGATGCCCAAGAAATGCTTCCATCTGACAATCTCTTGCTACTGGAGGAAACCTTAACCAAGCCACCAGGGGAAATATTATTAGTTATTGTAACATCCGATGTCTTCTTTACATTAGAAATTCGTGTCTTCACTGATTTGTTCACATCTTCCAAAGGTTCATTCAGGTTGCCCTTCTTTAATGGAGTTTGAGCCCTGCTATCTTCTTTTGGTAGTTGCCTCTCAACTGGCATTGATAGCCTTCGAGAAAACTGCCAACCAAATGGAGATGACATAATCAATGAACATTCAAGGTATTTTTAATATTTATTTTAGTTATCTGTTCCAGTCTCCTTCTGAAGATCACATTAAAATTAAAAGCTCAGATAACAGGCATAAAATGTAATAGTCCACCTACAACCCAAATGGGAAAGGAAAAGCCTAAAACTTACAGCTACAGCTAATACAAAGAAATTGAATGAATTTCCCCACTATAAAAATGGGCCTATTATAGATTTATCACGCATTCCATATCACTACATCTAGCATACCATATGACAGTTCCTGCATTTAAGGTTCTTGCTGCAATCTTTGCCCTGTTCAACAAGAAATTTGATACAACTCAGATATTAACTTTTCATATTAGATTCAGAAAATACATTCTCAACCAGATGTGCATGGCTGTCCAGAAAGCAAATGTTCATAAGAACAAAAGGATAAGAAAACAAAATGAAGGAAAAGCCTATAAGGCATCAACAGAGCCAAAGGGCAGGCTGGCTGCCAAAATTTAGCAAATCCTAACACCTAAAGCAAGCTATTGTACTATTCGCATTATGTCAATGTAACTGTTAATAACCTTCAAAGTTAGCAAAATCATAGACAGGAAGGAGACTGACCGTAGAGCTGCATGCTTCAGATTTCTTTTCTGTCTTTAATGGCCTGGGATTCGAGCTATCCCTCCCCTTTGTCTCTACATTACCCTCCCAACTCTTTCTCAAAGACTTGGGCCCTGGATCAATCCCTGGCACCAGATTTACTACTGAACTTCCAGCAAATGATTTCCTGCCAGCAGCAGTTGCCCTTAACACAGATGCTGCTCTTTCTAACAAGTTCATTCTTGTACTAGATGGCTTTTCTGGCACTTTAGCCTTTGAATGTTGTTTAACTCCATTAGTTAGCTTGTCAAAAGATGATGGTACTGAATGGCAACTTGTAGGGGACGAAGGAATCGACCTTGAACTCATTGAATTTGACTTTTCATAAATTTTATGCTTCTTCCCCACAGAATTACTCAAAGACAGATTTGACAGTGATGAACTAGATTGGCTGAGAGATGCTTTTTTCTTTTCCATTACTTCAACTTTGGTCGTTCTATCTACCTTCACTGAATTGGTCTTCTCTTTCCCCAGTGATGGACTCACAGTATCCTTAGAACTATTAAGGAAAGTGAGGGGGCGAGTAGCCACAAGATCCTCAGGGCTTCCCACGCAAGGATGGCGTCCGGGGACTGGCCTCACACCTCGAAGGACAGGTACAGGCATAGCTGCCTCGAGTCTATCAACATATATGAATTGGCCTAGCTGTATCTTATCACTCAAGATGAGGTCATCGTGCTCATCAGGAATGGAGACATAAGTAGCATGGGAGGAATCAGAAACCTTAAGATAGAATCCCTGATTTGAGAAGAGCTCACCACCAGCAAGTGCAGGAACTATGCTAACAACCTGGAGGAGAGATGATCTATGTTCGCCGGCAATTTTCACATCTGTATTCATGTGCTGGAGAAGCTTGATGAGAACACCTGGGACCAAAGTGGCCATCTTCTTTGCCTTCTACAGAACATTACTCTGAAAAAAAAATGCAAATCTTATTTTTTGCATGAATGCTTCAGTTATAACTAATGTAACACCAAAAAAAATGGTAGGTCCCAAAGAACTTTGCCTTTTGCTAAATTACAAAAACTAAGAAGTAGAATATGAAAACAATAAAACAAAAGCAGATCCAAAGAGAACAGAGTTAAAATTTTCAGATAGCTTAGGAGGTATATTCTCTTCAGATAAAGGACTTTCGACTGCAGAGAGAACTTTATAGTGAAAACTTAGGAAAAAAAACTTCAAACTCGAGCTGTTGCTGTTAGCAAAAACTGTAGAGGGATGCTATACTGGATTCTAACAGGTCGTACCAACGTATACACATGGGAAAACATTAGATCTTTCCGTTAATTAGCAAGAAATCAACACATTGAAGACAGTTTCACAATAACAGGAATTTAGAGAGAGAGAGAGAGAGAGAGAGAACCTAAACCAAATTCTATGCAATAATGGCTTTGAACAGTTAAACTAATCAATCCATACGAAGCAAAAATACCATGCTTTTCGCGAAATCCCTGGTAGATTTATGACCAAAAATGGACATTTATTAAAAAAAACCTAGCTTTTCAGCTCCAATACCTAATATCCCAAATTGCTTGTAGATTTGTGGGAAAAAGACGGGCATTTTGTCAAGAAAGCCAGCTCTGGATCTCCAACAACTAAAAACCCAACCGACATTTCTCAAAAAAAAAATCTAAATTTACAGGAAACAACCTAAAAAAACTGAATCTCTGTATCTCACTCCGTGTTTCCATACTATCAAGGGTCGAATTTACAAATAATCCATCACAAACAAAGAAGTCTATTAACCAGATGCAAAGCAAAGTTTAACTAGTACTGCGAAATCATACATTGGCCAAAAAAAAGAAAAAAAGAATCATCGCGTCTCCGAAAAAAAGCGCTTAGAAATGATATGAATCCAACGGAATCACAGTCACAGAAAACCAACTACTGGGCCTTAAATGTACACTTGCTTGAATTCCGCCGCAGATTTTCCTCACCAACTAATCTCTCCGATTCCAAGATCTCCTAAGAGGATGAGCACGCGGTCCCCGCCCCCAAGCCGCCAATACAAATCCGCAAACAGAAGCTGAAACGCCTGATAGAAAGCCAAAAAGAAGTAGAAAATCCCCTCCTGCCCGACAAAAGGCCAACCACGGATCACATCAAGAACCTTATAACAAACAAAGGAAGAACAATTTATAAGAGAGAGAAAGAGAGAAAGATGGATGCTTTACCTATGTTCTACTTTCGCCTCACCAGTCGCTGTCAGTCTCTCTGTGCGGCAGAGGTCGGTCGTATAGAGTGGCTGACACAAGCAACGATATATCTATATCTGTGGACTCTGACGCCAAACTTTCTTCTCTCTCCTCTCCGTCTCTCTCGCTGAAGAAGAAGAAGGAAAGACTACAGTGCACGGCTAGGCGATTAGGCTTTAATGGCCTGGTCATGTTATAGAGAAAATTATTAATTAAATATTGAGTTCAGTTAAGAGAAGGTAGGAGCTCCAAAGTTAATTATTATAAAACTATTTTATAAATTTATGTTTAGAAATTAAAATTTAATAGAAAATCATTCCAATAATAAATACTTCCACAAAAACGACTGCACTGTGTTTTTTTTTCAACTTTTTATATTTGTTTGGATGAAAAAGTAAATTCAAGTTAAAATAAATACAGTATAATTTATTTTAGCTTATTTTAATTTGATCAAAAATGTTTTGTATCCAAGTGCTTCCTTAGCAAGTCATGGTGACCACCATCTTCACCACCACAATAATTTCGTCAGTCCTCAGCCCGGTCACCGATTATCACTAGAAATTTTGTCAGACCTCCGCCCGGGCACCTATTGTCGCCAGAATTAAGCCCGGCCACCGACTATCACAGGAATTTTGTCAGACTATGTCTACCACCAAATATTGTCGGGATTTTGTCGGACCTCAGCCAAGCCACAAATTGTCGCTGAAATTATGCCCGGCCACCAAATGATGCTGGATTTATGTCCAACCACTGGTTGTCTCCAGACTTCCGTCTGGTCACCAAGTGTTGTGAGACTTACGCTCGATCGATTATCGCAAGATTTTCTCCTGATCACTGTCATCGACTACTATCCTTCCAACCTCTGTTATTAGACAACAGTCTTTCTGATCACTGTTGTTCGCCAAATACATTCCTTTCGATCATATTTAGAAAAAGAAATTAAGCCCGACCACCACCACAATAATTTCGTCAGTCCTCCGCCCGGGCACCTATTGTCGTCAGAATTAAGCCCGACCACCAACTATCACAGGAATTTTGTCAGACTATGTCTACCACCAAATATTGTCTGGATTTTGTCGGACCTCAGCCAAGCCACAAATTGTCGCTGAAATTATGCCCGGACACCAAATGATGCTAGATTTATGTCCAACCACTGGTTGTCTCCAGACTTCCGTCTAGTCACCAAGTGTTGTGAGACTTACGCTCGACCAATTATCGCAAGATTTTCTCCTGATCACTGTCATCGACTACGATCCTTCCAACCTCTGTTATTAAACAACAGTCTTTCTGATCACTGTTGTTCGTCAAATACAGTCCTTTTGATCATATTTAGAAAAAGAAATTATAAAATATATATTAGATAGAAAAACTAAAAAATAAAATATATTTCATTTTAAAAAATATTTATAAAATATATTTTATTTAATGATTATAATTATTTTATATTTTTTATTAAAAAATTAATTCTTACTACAGCATCACACATGTGTGTGCCCGATAATGAGCGCTCATGTGCAACAATAATTGATATCGCTTGCAGCGACAATGGTGATCGTTGGTCAATCGATCAACATGACCCATTTTGGGTTTGATTTTGGGCTAAATCATGTCTATTTTTTTTATGTTCTAGACTCAATTTTTTATATTTTTAGAGCCCTTTAAAATCTTTATGATCATGAAATTAGAGTAACTAGGTAAACTTTTTAATAATTTTTGTTTCCATTGATGTGCCGACTTTAATAAAAGTTGAGATTATAATTTTAGAGAATTTATTTGGTTCATATCTCGAGGGGATGTTCACGTTAATGTCTAGGGAACAATCGCACCTCCTCGTATTGTTTTTTAAAATTATAATTTTATACAAGAAATTTTTTTTTTAAGATTAAATATATATTTTTAAACCACTTTGTATTCAAACAAAGCACTTGAGATAAGGCTAAAAATTTTGGAGAATTGATTAAAGGATTAAACGATCTCCAAAATTCACATGCTTATAATCAAATGGAGCAGCTCGATGAGATTAATCCAATAAGCTAAATATCACTCAAATTTTGAGGCCATTATAACACTTAAATGCTGAATAAATTATTTAGTAATCAAAGGATTTGAGATGAGCTATTCTATGGAGTGTTATGAAATTTTGATTAAAATTATCAAAATGTTAATCTTCCATATTAGACTTGATAATGGAGAAAGCTTTGAGATATAAAGAACTCTAATGATCTACCCGATGTTCGAAGCTTACAGTCACTATTAGCTATCACTGAACCACTGTCATTGGACCAAGTCGTTGTCGGACTACCATTGTTATCTAACCACTATCACTCATCTATGATATTTCATTCTCTATCATTTGAGAGTCGCCATTAGACCGCTGTCTCATGATCATCATCTACTGTCATGCTCCCTCTGCTTCTTCTCTTACAATATCTACTATAACTATAGGAGATTAAACAAGTGCTCTTAATTTTATAATCACATCTTTTTCAGTTGTAACGAAAAATACATTGCAACCGAGTGACTACGGTTTGAAGATGACAATCAAACAATGATAGTTTCAGGATAGAAAATCAATCGATGATGGTTGAGTGAAAATTATCGGGCGATAACAATCGATTGCAATGGTGGAGCAAAATCACAGTTGAGCAAAGATAGTTGGACAAAGCTATAGTTGGAGGCAATCATCTACATTGAATGTTACACTAAGCTATAAAGTTCTTTAGATCTTCAAACTTTCTTCATATTCATGATCCCTTTAATATAAAAAATGAGAGTCTATTTATAATTTTGTGAAATGGCATTTTGATAATTTTAAACCAAACCGTCAAACACTATTAGGTGAACCTTATTAACTCTCTTAATTATATAACGTTTTTTACTATTTAAGTGTGTCTAAAACATTAAAACCGAGTAATCTTGAGTTCATTGGATTATTCTTGTCGAGATGCTCATTTTTATTATAAGCACACATAATCGAGATACTCATTTTTATTATAAGCGCACATAATTCAAAGATCATTAATTTGATCCATTAAATAATATCATAAAATTTCCAATTATGTTTTAAGCGTTTGATTTTGGCTCATTTGGACTGATCAAAAAACTTTTTTTTTTTTTTTTTTTGTCATTGGGATTTAGTTAAAACATTTGTTTTTATTATAAATTTACTCATGCTTCATTTGGGATAACTTTTTTACTATTTTCTAAACAACCTTTTAGTATAAAAAATTTTAGAATAATAAATTTTTTTACTTGAAAGCTGTTTTAGGCCTAGTTTGGGATGACTTTCTTATTACTTCTTAAAACAACTTTTTGGTACAAAAATTTCAAAAGTTGTTTTACGAAGCAACAAGAAAGCCGCCCCAAACAAAGCCTTAGAAAGTAGTAAGAAAGTCATCCCAAACGAAGCCTTAAATTTGCATTTTGTGAAACTGAATTTACTTTTAAAAAATTTCAATTCAAAATTTGCATTTAATTTTGTGGTTGATCAGATAAATTTTTGTAGCATATCAATTTATAATTTAAAAGAAATTTTAAATTAAAGAATGCTTATTAATAATTTATGTTTTAAAAAATAAAATTTTGAAACAAAATAGTAATACTGATCAAACTTTTGCGTCAAAACGAATTAGAAAGCTTCTTTTTTTTTTTAAATTTGAAACGAATCCAATTAGTTGAAAGATTAGTTTCCACCTACGACCACAGTGGAGAAATCACAGCCGTACAAAGGGTGTCTTGAATAAAGTAAACGTATCACCATCGTCAAAATGTCGTCGGTGGCCGAATGGCTGGATTTATTGACGCGTCAAACTTGTCCGGCGGGGAAGAAATTTAACGTCTTTTTTTTAATCAAATTTTTATTTTATATTTTATTTAAAAATTAGTTATTTATATTAAAAAATGTATTTGTTCAGCAGATTTAGGTTTGATTTGGGACTATTTTTTAACAGCTTTATGAAGCAACTTTTTAGGCGCGCATTTCTAATATTTTAGCATTTGGCGCGACACAGAGTAATGTTACGGTATTAGAATAAAGATTCTGAACTTGCTTGGCAAAATATTTGCGGTGTATTCAAAACCCGCTCTAAATACACTGCAACTTTGTTGTTTGAAAAGGTGTGAAATTCCAACTGCATTTCTTAGTTGATGTTCGACTTTGCCTCATTCATTTTTGGCAAGCCTTCGCTCTCGCGTCCTACTCGCCCAAGAATTTCCCACCAGGCAAGAAAGAGGGAACAACCCGTGGGAACACTTCTTCATTTATTCCTCTTGCTTCACGTGAGGAGTCGTTTTACCCCGGATTTGCTATTTCTCCAATTCCGTTCGGCTCTGATACTTGGCATGAGGACGTTCACTTGATTCTGCAAACAAGAAAATCCACTCCCTGCACGCCAATGGTAACATATTTGCGGTGTATTTGAAACCCGCTCAAATCAAGCGAATTCTAAATATACTACAACTCTCTAGCGTGAAAAGGAGTGAAATCCCAACTGCATTTCTTCGTTGATGTTAGACTTCGGCTCCTTCGTTTCGGCTAGCCTTCGCTCTCACATCCTACCCACCCACTAGGTTAGAGGGTTAGAGAGAGAGAGAGGTTCATTTATTCCTAAACCCTAAACATTTAAAATTTTAAATTTAATCCCTTGACTTTTTATATTGATACCCATATAATCCCATAAAATGTCTAATTTAATCCATATTTAAAAAAAAATCAAATTGATACTTTAATATAATTAGAAAATATTTTGATCATTAAAAATAAATCAAAATCAAAATGACCAATTCACCCTTTTTCTCATCATTAAAATATCCAAACACAAATAGGAACAAAATCAATTATTTTCATCAACATCAAACATCATTATATGTAAACAGGCACAACTTTTATCTCTGTATGTTTTAACAATAAAAACCATCAGGCATTTATTCCCTAAAAATATATATATGAATAACGCATTTTCAGGTTCTATAATGCTTAAAAATACTGAAAAATGTGGAACTTTTCTTCCTGCAATCAAAACCATCAAAGATATGCATGCAAGAACAAAATTTATGTAACTGGGAAGGCTACATACAAATTGAATTTGGAAAGCTTAAAAGAATTTCATAAGCTACGACTGTTAATTACTATTATTATTGTTATTAAGGCTTCGTTTGGTACGGTTTTCTTGCTACTTCTTAAAACAACTTTTTAGCAAAAAAAATAAATTTTATGTACTAAAAAGCTGCTTCATGAAGCAGTAAAAAGCAATCCCAAATGAAGCATAAGACGTCATTTGGGATGACTTTTTTTTTCTTAAAGCAACTTTTTAGCGCACACATTTTATTTTTTGTACTGAAAAGCTCCTTTTAAGAAGCAGTAAAAAGATCATCCCAAACGAAACTTAAGTTTAATGAACAAACAATATGAAAGTTTTCCAACAGTTTTGGCTCACTTCCTCCTGTTCTTATTGCACTAAGAAACAAACTACATTTGATGGTTATTTTAACAAACTAAAAAATAAACAAAAACCATAGGAGAATCTCATTAAAACAATTTGAAACAGATAGTCTCTAAGCAAAGCATAGTAGGACTGTGATCTATGAGTTCAGCATGATTGGGTGGATGAAGAATAAACCAAGGTCTCATTGCAAAAAAGACGAATATAAGTTTTACAACTCCATTGAAAAGGAAACAGGAACATGACAAGGAAAACTTAAAACTTCTGCCAGATGTTAACTAGAAAGTAAGATGATAGACTCATCCTTACAGATCCTGCACGCTCAAACCTGCAAAATAAGAGAATTAAAACCTTGAGATCTATATTTCGGAGAAAGAATAAAGCTATATAATGTGCTGTCTATACAAATCTTCGAATGAAAGACAATGATACTTAGACTTCGAAAAAAAAAATTTTTGCTACTTGAAGCAGCTTTTTAAGTACAAAAATTTTAAATTTTTAACTAAAAAGCTACTTCAATATACAGTAAAATAGCACCATACAAGCATGTTTGGCAACCTTTCTCACAAAATCACAATAGTACTGCCAGAGAGCATTCTTGTCCAACAAGAATGCCGAAAAATATAGCATCTCAAAGGGAGCGTAATAGAGTCGAGCCAACTTAAGCTTTGCTCTACAAATAACTAGTGAGCAAAACTTGATAAACTAATAAATCAAATTTGAGCTAACCTGAACTCAATTAGTAAGCTGAATAGTTTAAAAATGTTTAATATAAAATACATTTAAAATTCATTAGAATTCAATAGTTTAGGTATAAATTTATTACAATATTGTAAGAATTATATATTTATACTTTTTTTCAGGTTGATATTTAATGATTTCTCCTTTTTTTATTTTTTATTATAACAGTTATTTAAACCAGATTCATCTTCTATCTTTTATAATAAAAATGAGCCAACTCGTTACCCAACTGAAACCCATGGAATTGAGTTCAAGGCCAAACTAGAACTCATTTAATTCGTCAAGCTCAAGTTCAAATTACGAGTGGCTTGATATCAATTCGACTCATTTACACCCTTATCCAAAACTAATAAACCCATTGTGGTATACCACACCACTGACAAATAAGAGCCTTAAAATTCACATGAGAAGCAAGCCGAAATGGAGTGCAACTATATTATCAGATCTAAGTACCAAGAAGGCCCGTTTAGGTACCGGCGCTAGGTGCTTGACAACTGCAGAACACTCAGGCCTGCAAGTATATTCTTGACTATCTAATTCATTCACTACAAAATGAATTAGTCCTCACTAGCATGCCCCAAAATATAAAAACATACGTAGTCGACGATGATATTTGAGCAAAGCAGAGGTGATGTTCTACCCTGATGCCAATTTGGCCCGGTGTCAAGAGAAAAAAATGGCATAGTTAGTTTCAAAAGAGAAAAAGGCCTCTGACTACTACTGCATAATTCTTAGCAAGGTTGGGTTGCTTCCTCTAAGTACCACCATTTTTTTCTCTAATTAATCCTACATAACAAATCAACAAACAATTTATTGAGTGGAGGAGCCGGGATTTAGAATGAGAGAACAAAAGAGTTTATCACTGGTTACGAGTGAGTAATGTTTTCATTCCAAACATATCTACAATAGAATTTATAAATTGTTTAACATAATCATCAAGGCATAACTTGATTTTATGCGCACACAAAATGCCTCAAATGTGAGCTGCAATGTCGCCAAAAAGGCTTGCCGCTTTTGTAACTGAGGCCTATGCTTTGAAGCTTTCTGCATCTAGGCATCTGAGGCATGCCTCTCAATGAGTTATTGTAAAAAATAATTATAGTAATACATTAAATATCTAATATATCTTATATTATATCTAATATAAGTTATATTAATATAATATCTTATATTATGCCTAATATATATTCCATTAGGTCAACCGCCCCTCATTCGCATCCCCCCATTTGCATATTTAAATTTTAAGTGTGCGCTTACTTTGAATCTTATTTCAAACTTTCATTTTACAAAGAATAGAGATTTATTTTATATGCGATTTTGTGATTTATGTTTTCATGATATGGAACTAAGTATATCTCAATAAAGATTATGAGAATACTATTGGATTTAATGACCTTAGCACCCTAAATGAAAATAGAGAATTTTGTTTTTATCATCATATTAGTAAAACCGAAATTAGAGAGATTTTAAAGAAAATAAAATGTAGGAAAGCAGTTGGACCAGATGTATTCCAATAGAAGTGTGGAAATGCTTAAGAGATGGCTTACAAAACTTTTCAATATTATTTTAACGACTAAAAAGATGTCAGATATGTGGAGGAGTGTGTTGATTCCCATTTTTAAGAATAAATGTGATGCACAAGAGTGAGTGAATTATAGAGAAATTAAGTTAATGTGACAATTTAAAATAATGGGAGAAAGTCATTGAGCATAGTTACAATGTCACACTCATGTTTCTCACAATCAATTTGAATTCATGCCGGGTAGGTCTACTATGGACAATATATATTTTGAGAGAGGTTTGATGGAGAAGTATAGAGAGAATAAGAAGAATCTACATAAGAAATTTATTGATTTAAAGAGAGAGCATATGATAAATCCCAAGAGAAGTGCTATGGAGAGTTCTAGAAAAGAAGTGAGTTAATAATGCTTATATTCAAGTCATTAAAAATATATATGCAAGAGTTATTACTTGTGTTCAAACATAAGGTTGTTTGACCAAGTATTTTTCTATTTCAATTGGATTACATCAAGGATTAACATTAAACACATATCTTTTTGCTTTAGTCAAGGATGTTCTTACTAGACATTTACAAAAGGATGTTCACTGATTTATGCTTTTTGCTGATCATATTCTTCTTGTTGATTAGAGTAGAGGAGTTGAAAAAAAACTTATTTGTAGAGCTAACTAGTATATAATAGAGTATTAATTCACAACAAACAATTAACAAAAGCTGGATAGACAAATGTCAAAAACCATTTAGATATGTAAAGCACAATGCCCGGGTATACATTATAATAAAATAAAAAAACTTATCAATATAGCTTACCTGGGGGAAGAGATTGCTTGAGCTTATCAGCCTTCTCAGAGTCAAACACACACAAAGTGTAAAGATACCTCGAGCATCTAACCTTGAACTTCACAACACCCTTGCTTCTTTTGATCTTAACAGAACGAGCATCCTTCCTTCTAGCCGTAAGAAGGAAATCCTTGATCTCGTTGATCTGCTTCGGCTGGATCAACAAACAAGTACAAAAATCAACAAAAAAGCAGAAATTTATTCAAACTGATTAAGAAATCTAATCTGTTTTCTGAACTGGCAAAGTCAAATAGAACGTTTTAAAAGTAATATGAAAAAACGAACGAAATAAAACATTATTAATTTAAAAGAAAATGGCCAACTTATATGGATGACCACATTGTATTGAAATTCCAATTTTCGCATATATTTTACTAATCAAATCATTCCATGTAATCTAAATATCCTCACTCGTGTGTTTCATTCTAAACCATTTAAAAATTTATAAGCTTTGAAATCACAAATATCATTTCATGCAATTGGAGTCAAACATTGGACAAATTTGTGACATTCAATTAATGTTCAAAATATTTTGAAGTTCTTCAAATCATGTACATAATTCATTTTAATAATATTATAAAGAGAGTAGATGATTTTGATTTAAAGTTTATAATAACAAGCTCTAAATGGGAAACCCACACACATAACGGACTACACAAAAAGAATGCAAACTACATAAAGGATTCAATCAGAAAAAAATCGATTATATTTGCATTAAGGCAAGCTATGCTCGAAGAAGTTTCATTTTATGGGGCATGCCAGGAGTCAAATTTTGAAATAAAAATTGCAACATTCCCAGAAAAAATCTGCACAATAACTCCTGACAAATCAGGATTGATTAAGTGAAGTAACAAAACCCTTTCCCAAGTAAAAGTGCATCACATTCCCCTTCTTGTATATATTTGTGAGGGAGTTTAGCAATAATTAATTTGAAAACTCGAATTAGCTTTTGGGTAAAAGATTGTCTTATAATTGAATCCACCTCTTATAGAGGAAAAATTATAGAATAAAAAAAATCTTATTGACCAAACCAATTAAAAGGCTCACAGTTCGAAATTTCAATCATAACAAATTAACAGAATAAAAAGATAACAATAACACATTGGCCGATCTAAAATTGAAAGGCATGGCATCTTCTTTGTTTCTCCTCTTCAAAAATATTACAGTAAAAGAAGCATCAATAATGCAACATTCCATATTCTATTAGCAAATGTGGAAGAAGCACAGTTAATTCAAGCAGGTTTTATAGCAATAGCAATGGCATACAGGGGAAGAGCAAATTTAGCACCAAAACTGCATTTCCAATTCAGCAGAATAAATCATAGTACATTCAATTGGCTTAATAACGATAACACCAAGCAAATCGTGGCTTTAGAGTGAAATTTTATGGGGCGTAGATAGAAAACTTCTAGAAATAGAACCAATGAAAATATAAATTGAACAGAGTCAATCAAAACATGATTAACATAATTAGATTGATGGACCTCATAAACAGAGTCAATCAAAATATGATTAACATAATTAGATCGATGGACCTCATAAACAACTCATCTAGAGCATGGAGCATGAACGCCACAAAATAAACATCCTTTTGATTTAGAAATAGCAACATAAAATGCAGGAAAATACACCATTGAAAAATTAAGGGTGTAAAAAATGGGTTGCGGGTTGGGTTTGGGTCAAACAATATACCCGAACCTGATCCATTTTTGCAAACGGGTAAAAAATTCCAACCCAGACCCGACCCACCGGGTTACCGAGTTGACCCGACTCGACTTAATTCGCGCATAGCATAGAGCAGGCCGCGTTGCGAGAACAAGGCGAGACGCATGAGGTACGGGCAACAGGCGAGCGAGGAGAGACATGCTGTGTGGGGGATGTGGTGAGGGCGAGGCGATTGGTGAGACGTGCTAGCCGAGGGCAACGATGTAGCCGTGTGGGCACGAGTTAGCCATGTGTGGTGCGCGCATGAGATGGACACGCGGTGTGAGGGTGAGCTGGGCACGTGGTGCGGAACAATGAGAGTTTGAGTGAAAATTGAAAAGTGTGAGTATGAACAATACGCATATCATTTTTGGATTAACGGGTTGACCTATACCTTACCAGATTTTTCAAAACGGGTCAAAAAATGGAACTCTACCTGACACATTTGCTAAAAGGGTTTACCCAAATTTGGATTTTTTGAGTCGAGTTTGGGTCCGATTTTTGGGTCGTGTCAAATATTAACACTCATAGTAAAAATCCTAGAGGCACACTCAACCAAGTTGATTTGAAGGTGGTTTGCATCCAAACCCTAGCAACACAACACAAGCTTGTGGAAAAGGAGTTATATATCCTTGGTCAATCTTTCTATAGCTTGTATCACCTAAATACCGGTAATGCCCCTTCTATAGATAGAAAAGCAACTTAGATGTTTTGGCTAGGATTTTTTTCCACAATTGCAAAATAAATCCATGGTTTTTTTTGTATTTGAATGGTTGAAAAAGAAATATATTACTTAGTTTAAGGAATAATAGAGATGGCAACCTACAAAAAAATGGGCTTTGTGGCTTCGTGGCTTCGTGGCTTCGTAAAATGGGCTTTGTGGCTTCGTGTAGGTGTGCAGGACATGGATGATAAAGGATTGTGGGGTCGATGACAAGGTCATGCGAGCGATGACAGGAAAAAGTTAGGGTCACATGAGGATGTCATTGTTGTGCGAGGTTAGAGTCGGCAACTCTAAGATCAATGGCTACAAGGTCGTGTTTGTTCAATGAGGATGAGGTCATGCAGCATGGACAAAGAGGTGCATGTAGAGAGGTCTTGTATTTGGAAGTCACTACTTTTTAATGAATTCCAAATTAGTCAAAAATTGACATTTTAGGGAATTACAAATATACTATTAAAATACTATAAATTTGTCTTACTTCAATCAAACACGTAAAAAAATCAACATATATATTTCTTTTACCCTACAAAACTACAAACCTAATCACCAAAACAAATAACCCCCTAGTGACAACTTAGATTATGCATGTTTATGTTTTGTTTTTCTTTTTATTTATTTATTTTATTTAATATTTATTTAAAATAAATTTAGATATTTTATGTATTTTTTTTTTTAATTTCATCATCATCATTAGTCATATATTAACTATTTTAGAGTCACCATTACAATAACTTATTTTTCATTTACTCATATTGAGTTTTGCAAGTACTAAAAACTTCTCAACCCAATTTGAAGTTCTACCCATGTAACATTAGGTTAAACCCATTTCTTTTATAATTTCATGTTATTAAATTTATTAGTGTGTCTAACAAGCATATTATCTACCTTTCATTATACATGTCCAAATCATCTAAGACTTTTTTTTAATAACATTACATTTGATAAATATCGCTCCACATTTCTTCGAATATAATCGTTCATTAATTTATCCTTGCTAATTTTATCTCACAATTATCTTAGCATTCTTTTTTTGAAATATCAACTTAAATAGTATTGACTTCTTTACATACACCTTTTAAATCCATATATCATCATTAGCGTAATTGCAATTTTATAACATTTACCTTTAATCCTCTCTAATATAATCTTATCACAACTTCCAAGTCACTTCTACATTTAACTGCTCAACTTAAATATTAGAAATTATATCTATATATACCACTAAACTTACACCTAAGATAGCATTTTCTCGCATCAATTTGAAAACTACTATAACTTTTGACTAATTATTATGATTTTTATCACTATTGTTAATTTACAGTAGTCTTAACTATTGCAATTTGTAGTTTGTTAAAATCACTGCTAAAACCTTTTTTTCTAAAGCAAAGCACTCAAATCCCCTTCCATTCCAAACCATAGAAGCTCTCACACCTCTAGTCCCTCTCATCGATTGCCTACTACCTTCCCCATTCCATCAATCATCAAAACTATATTCACACTTATTTTATTTTATTTTATTTAAAACACAATAATCTAATTCACTTTTAATTGGACAACTACCATTATTTCATCCCATGGAATAGAACCATTAAATTGGTAGAGATTTGCATTAGAATTGTTTAAAACACATTGATATTCATCAATATCATACTTGTTAATGGCGAATGGCGCACCATGGCGCAAAGGTTTTATTTGAGCCATGGCGCATAGCGCACGGCGCGGCGCGCGCCATTTTGAACATGGCGCAAATTATAAAATAATAAGCATGAATATGAAATATCATTAAATTGAAAGACAAACTATCATAATAACAAGCAAACAATGGCAATACAAAAAAATAACAATCCAACATAATTTCAAGTCCAATAAGTAGTCAATCTTCATACAACAAAAATATATTTAAATGAAAGAAAATAACATTAAGAAGATAATAATATGCAATCTAACATTTATCTTAATACTTTTAATATATTTAAAAATAAGAAAATATATTATCTTAAAAATATTTATAATTACATTAAAAAAATTTTAAAACAAATGGTGCGCGCTATTTTGCGCCGTGCGCCATGGCGCGCATGTGGCACAAATAGCGCGCGCCATTTTGAAGGTTTGCGCTGCGCCATGCACATGGCGCCATAGGTGTGTCGCGCCGTGCGCCATGACGCGCGCTATTTTGCGCCATTGACAACTATGATCAATAGGGTAGCTTTCATTTCCCGAAACTTCAAGTTTTGTATGAGAAAAGTATAACAAATTTAGTGCAATAGAAATTGTACAAAATAAAGCATTATTATATTTAAAGAAAACAACCAACTGACATTGATGCCAACATTATATTAAATTTTAAGTTAATCAAAATATTCAATACATTCTAAATATCATTAACTAGTGTGTTACATTCTAAACCTTTCAAAATTTTGTATGCTTTGAAATAAAAAAAAAAAAATCCGTGCATGCAATTGGAGTCAACAATTGAGCATTTTGTGAAATACAACTAATGTTCAAAAGATTTCAGAAGTTCCTGAAAATATGCATGCCATAACTTTTAATGATATTAGTAAGGAGAATGGTTTTGATTTAAAACTTATAATAAAAATATCTAAATGGGACACCAGCAAACACAATGGTCTTCACAGAAAGAATGCAAATCATTCACAAGGGGTTGAAACCCATGACAATCAATTAAATTTACATCAGAGCAAGATAAGCTAGAAGAATTTTCATTTTATAAGGCATTTTAGGTGTAAATTTGATAGAAAAACGCTGCACTTTCAAAAAAAAAATTCACGAAAACTCAGGCCACATCATAACTTGATTAGTGAGCCAATTAAAACCTTTTGCGTGCAAAAAAAGCATAACATTCACCTTTTTTATTGGCCTGCCTAAAAAGGTGAACCCAGATAATTTCTTGTATAGAAATGAGCGGGAGTGTACCAATAATCAATTTGAAAACTTGACATAGCTCTGGTTAAATTATTGCGTCTTATCACATATGATTCAATCCATTTCTCATAGAGGGGCAATCTAGAATAAAAAAGACTTATTTCCAAAACCTATCATAGGAACCATAGTTTCAAGTTTCAATAATAACAAATTAACAAAATCAGCAGGTAACAATAACAACATTAGCCTATCAAAAATTGAAAGGCATGTTCGTCTTATTTGTTTATCCTTTAAAAAAAGGCTGCACCAAAAAAAGTATCAATTAAGTTACAATTTTTCAAATTCTTTTTGTGTAAGTTGAAGAATTACAATCAACTAAATCAAGTTTTATATCATAGCAATGCCTTTCCAGACAAGAAAATTTAACATTTAAAAAAAAAACATTTCCAGTTCAACAAAATAAATCATAACACAAAAAAAAGGGTTTCATTACAATAACACCAAAAAAATACAAGTGGTCTTTCATCACCCATTAAAGTTTCAATATTCATGAACGATCCTTACCGATCATAGCTTCAACTCGATCTATCATTAAAAGAGGGAAAAACTAAGCTTCAACTTAATCTATCATTAAACGAGGGAAAAACTATGGGGCACAGATAGCGAACTTTTGGAAACATAGCTAATGAAGATATCAATCAAATTTGTTTAAACTAATTAGATCTACGGACCGCATAAAAAAATTCATCTAGAGCGGGGAACATAAACACCACAAAATAAAGTTGCTTCCTTTCGATTACATAGTCAGAGAAAACGAAGGGAACGATACCATTGCGAAAATCTTCGATGAAAACTCTTAGCTAGGCGATGCGAAGGCGCCGGCGTCTCCTAACCCTAGCAACGCTACACCAGCTTGCGAAAGGGAAGTTATATATCCCAAGCTACCCTTTTCGATAGTTTTTATTACCTTAAATGCCCCTGCCTTCGCTGTGCGGATGCGGTTGCTTGCAATAATTCAATATTTGATATTAGAGAATTTACATAAATACCACGTCATGTCATCATTGTATACATCTTATATTTATATAATATTTTAAAAATAATTTTAGATTATTTTAAAAATATTATTTTTATATCATTTAAAATTTTAGGTGTTGTTAAATAAAATTAAATTTTAAGTTGGATGTATAAATATTATACATTAAAAATTATGAGATAGGTAAGAAAATCCTCTTAATATTAAATACATTGTAAATTTTATTAAACTATTTATATCGCAAAAGAAATTTATGAGAATAATTTGTTATTTTTGGAAGACAGGAAATAGAATATATTATTTAAGAGATGGTAGCTTAGTAAATATTTGACAGGACCCGAAAATTCGACCTAAATCATACCCAAAAATTTTGGGTTCGGGTTCCCCGAACCCGAACTAGTCAAATCAGAACTTGGTAGGGTTTGGATTAGGAATTTCGACCCGTTTGTAAAATAGGGTGGGGTTTGGGTTGACCTAGAAACCAAAAAATGACTCGTGACCCATTATAAATAGCAAATGTTTAAATGAGTAAACCGTGACCCACTGACCTGTGCCTACCCAGTTGTTTGCACGTTCCTAGCTGCAACTCACGATTCAATGCCGACTGAAGCCAATGTCGCCGTATCGTTATCTTACCATCTGCCTCTCTTCCTCGCCTCCTCTTCCTCTCCTAGTTTTCCGCCACCTGAAGTCGACGTGGCGTCCCCAATTGTCTGAAGTCCAAACCCTAGCCAGTTAGCCTTTACCCCGACGACTCACCACTCCCTCTCCCACAGCCTGAAGCTAACACCTCCTCTCTCTCTCTCTCTCTCTCTCTCTCTCTCTCTCTCTCTCTAAAGCTGACATCGCCGACTCTCCCTACTCCTGACGATCCCACTGTTCCTCGCAACCTCCCGACCACATATTTATGAGATTTTTCTCATTCGTTGAATAAGTACCGCGACATTTACGGGTAAGGTCGGGTTAACCCGAACTTGATGATTTCGGGGTTCAAAAATAGGTCGGGTTTGGGTTGACTCGAATAGTGGGTCAGCCCCGGGTTGGACCCGAACCCTATGAAACCCCTAAATTTTCTTATAAAAATTTTTGACTTAGAACAGTCAGTATTTATTTGGAGTCATAATAAATCTAAATCGCAAACCGTCTCTGTTAGAACATATATACTATTTTGTTTTAGCTTCACTAATTTTTTTATAATTTTTTGGCAATGTTGAATTTTATTAAGAAATTAGTACGTGTTGGCACAAGTGAGGTATTTAGGACCGTTAGATATCTGTTTTGTAAATTGATTTCACCATAATTTTCTAAATAAATTATTTTAGTTTATGAATATTTTTTAAAAATTTTTAAAATTTTGGTATTTGAAGTTATAAAGGAATTTAGATAAAAATAATATTTTAATATTAAATTATTAGAAAAAAATTTTAATGCTTTAATAAAATATTAGAATCCACGTTATATATATGATAAGCATTATTTTCACTTCAATTTTTCCAAAGAGAGATCAGCTAATGTAAAATAAGATAAAAGGAGGAGAGAGAAAGAAATAAAAGTCTGATTTTGGTCGACTTCGGGCTATTTTTGTCCGTCGATCTCGTTGGGAAACTTGTTCATCTTGAGGTAAAGCACATAATGTCCACCTCAATTTTAAAAAATGTGCAAATTTTAGCGAATATCTAGATTAAAATTTTATATCCGTTAGCAAAAAAAGGGGTTAATTTTGCATATGTAAAGCTTTCACCGCATAACTTTTTATATGTTATAGAGATTATGATTATGCATAATTTAAATATTTTCTAAAAAATTTAAACATGAGATTTTGAAATTTGTAGGGTTTTTATTGAATAGAATATATTACAAAGAATTTTAGGCAATTGCCCCCCTAAAAGTTTTAACTTATTATGGTCTTTAGACAATTGTCCCCAACATAATTAAACACATTGTGTAGAGGAATTATTGTTAGGAAACGATGAATTAAATACAAAGAGAAATAACAAAGAGGATCTAAAAATAACTTTACAACCAAAATTTATTCAAGAGACGCTGTCTCTCTTGGACCCCCGATATATTGTTTACTAATTTTGATTTAAGAATAATTGTCATTATACAAGATGTTGATGATATTTTTAAAATGTATCGTATATTCAAGTACAAATAATCATTACTCACTCAAATGATAATGATTATATACATTTTTACTTATAAGGTTGCCCCATGAAAATTAAAGCTGGTTCGGCCCTTGGATGCTTACATATAAGCATCCAAACACAGCTCTATAACCGGATTCCGCACAAAATAATTTCTCCTTGGATGGACGGTCTTAGCTTCGGCTTAGGCAACCTGGAGCTTTTGGCCGGTGATTCTGCTGCGAACTCTGATCATTCAACGCAGCATATCAAGCTTTCTGAGTCCAATTCTGTTTTGGGTGTCTTTTTATAGGGTTTAGTAAAGTATTTCTCTGATTTGGGAATTTGTATTCTTTGGAATTGTTTTCTTCGGTAAATTTCCCTTTCCTTTCTTCTAGTTCAGCATTCTCAAATATTTATAGCAGCTCTTATTTTGTTAGCGGAATTACTTTCCGGCAAACCATGAGAAACAATGTGCAGAAACCTATTGTTATGGATCAGAATTATTTCCCAAGCAATGCTAACTGCCCTAATCAAGTCACTGGTGGGAATGGGAAGACTGAAGACCAATTGTTGACTGACTTGGGTTGTAGAGCACAGAGATAAAGATCAGTGGAGCATTGTTCGACGACGTGAGGACTCGTCGGCGGCGGCGGAGTCAGACAGGATTGACTGTAACCGGAGTAATCCGTGTATTAGAAACAAAACAACAAAATTACCATTTATAATTTTCGGTTTATGTTATGTACTGTAGATAACGTGTACTCTCCTGATTGGTTCTTTTTCTCTGAACCGTACTGTCTACTCTCTATTTATAGAGACCTATGGCTGTCACTCTTGATATGAAAAATAGTATTCTCTTTTACACTTTATACAAGAAATACTCTCTTTCTTTTAGCCATCGTGTTCTTCATGGTATCAAGAGTAGGTTGCATTCCTGGCAATGGCTCAATCCGCATCTTCTCAGACGGAAGCTCGCATCTCTGCATCCACGCCGGATCCGGCGGAACAAAATATTTCACCCAATCTGAAGTTTCTTCTTTCCAACATCAAGAAGGTCGTCACGATCTCGCTCGCCGCCGATAACTATTCTCTCTGGCGGTCTCAAGTTCTCGAAATCATCTCTGCTAACGGCTTTCAAAGCTTTCTTGACATATCTCCCGGCCCTCCTCCACCGACTGTTCAATCCAACGGCGGCGAAAACATCTCGAATCCCCTCTTCTCCAAATGGCATCTCACGGATCAGAACATCGCCACCTCCATCTGTTCGACGATCTCAGCTCAGGTTCTTCCATATGTGATCAATCTTGATACAACGACATCAATATGGATCTCTCTCCAGAATCGATTTCAAGCGACAAACCGATCCAAGGTCATTCAGTTGAAGAACGAACTTCACAACATATCATTCAAGAACTCCAACATGACTCAATACCTGACTGATATCAAATCACTCGTCGATCAGATTGCTGCTGCAGGCGCCACGGTAGATACAGAAGACATAATTCTGTATATTCTCAATGGGCTTCCCCCACCGTATCAATCCTTCAAAACGTCTATACGGACTATGCTTACACCAATTTCACTTGATCAACTGTACCCCCTTCTGTTAAGTGAAGAGGTTAATATAGCCTCTGATGCTGCCAAAACAGCAGGTCGGTCGGATCCAACCATTGCCCTGTTCAACTATCGGGGCAGAGGACGGCGAGCTCGCGGCAGAAACAACTCCAATAACTCAAATGGCCCTCGCACATCGACATCAACTTCAGTTATCTGTCAGATCTGCCTCAAGAAAGGCCACTCGGCGCAAACGTGCTGGCATCGTCTCAACCCGCAATACACCCCGTCCTCAAGAACCACCAATTCAGCACTTCTTGCAGGAGCAGACTCTGTCGAACCAAGTTGGTTCTTAGACTCGGGCGCCTCGTCTCACATTACCAACTCTCTTGAGAACATGACTATCTCCACACCTTATCAAGGGTCGGACACGATGACCATTGGCGACGGCAGTTCTGTCAATGTCTCCCACACAGGGGCGGGTATACTCCCGACCCCTTCCCGTAAGCTGAATCTCTCTCATATTTTGCTTTCTCCATCTATACAGTACAATTTACTTTCCATTTCTCAACTAAACCGCGATAACGATATTTCGATTGTCTTTGATCCTAACGGTTTCTCATTAAAGGACATGAAGACACAACAAGTCATTCATCGCGGAACATGTGATGATGGACTATATCGGATCCCTGTCGGCAAACAGTTACCGCGATCAACTGCTCTTGCGGCCAACATCTCGTCGGCTGTCCTCTGGCATCAACGCCTGGGTCACCCAAATAAACGCATTTTGAATTCTATTTCTTCCTGCAATTCTGCTGTATCATCACAAAATTGTGACATTTCTTGTTCTTTCTGTAACTCGTCCAAATGTCATAAAAATGTTTTTGATAAAATTGAACGAAGCACTCAATCCTTACTGTCTTTAATTCACTCTGATGTATGGGGCCCAGCTCCGGTTGAATCCAATCAAGGATTCCGCTACTACGTTATATTTGTGGATGATTATTCCCGGTTTACATGGCTGTTCCCATTAAAAACTAAATCTGAAGTATTTGATACATTCATTCATTTTAAATCACAGGTAGAAAATTACACTTCCAGAAAGATAAAGATACTTCGCACGGACGGCAGGACGGAATTCGTCAATAACTCTTTTAGTTCGTTTCTCAAGCATCATGGCATTATACACCAACTCTCATGCCCGTACACACCTGAACAAAATGGTGTGGTGGAGAGAAAACACCGCCACATTATCGAAACTACTCGGACATTACTTGCCACAGCCTCCGTTCCTTACAAATACTGGGCCGATGCAGTCACCACGGCAGTCTATCTCATAAATAGACTACCGTCTCCAACCATTCAAAACATGTCGCCGTTCGAACGCATTCACAATCGCAAACCTCAATACACCCATCTCAGAGTGTTCGGGTGCGAATGTTTTCCCCTCATCCCACCGCAAGCTCGTCACAAGCTTCAGCCAAAGGCCACCTCGCATGTATTTCTGGGATACTCCGATCTGCATAAAGGATACAAGTGCCTTAGCATTAAAACCAACAAGATCACAATCTCTCGCCACATTACATTTCAAGAACAAAGGTTTTCGTTTAGTGATTTAGCGCACTCTGTGTCCACTAACAATACAGAATTATCTCCAGCAGTGTTGCTCCCCACCTCAGTTCCATCTTATAGCCCACATCATGTGCAGCCTCACCCTATAAGTCAAAATACTGCCCCCAATATAGGTACCTCCACAAGCTCGTCTATTCCGGTGCCTGTTGTTGCACACCAACCGGCTCCGTCCTCTCCTCAGTCTCTTGTTCCATCTCATCATATGGTAACACGCAGCAAGACGGGTTCACTTCGTCCCACGACCAAGTTCAATCTGCTTCATCTGTACAATCAACCAAATACCTCTCCCGATCCAACTAACTACAGTGAAGCATCAAAACATTTTGAGTGGCGTCAAGCTATGGCCAATGAGTTTTTGGCACTTCAAAAACAAGGCACATGGACTTTGGTCAAGCCACCGCCAAATGCATCCATTCTTGGATGTAAATGGACCTACAAAACTAAGAGACATGCTGACGGGACGATAGCTATGCACAAGGCTCGGTTGGTAGCTCAAGGAAATCATCAACAATATGGGCTCGACTATATGGAGACGTTTAGTCCGGTAGAAAAACTACCAACCATTCGGATCTTCCTCACCATCGCACTACATCATCATTGGCCCGTGCATCAACTAGACGTGGCTAATGCATTTCTTCACGGCCATATTACGGAGACTGTCTATATGACTCAACCGCGAGGATTTGAAGACAGTACACATCCCGATTACGTCTGTCATCTCAACAAAGCTCTCTACGGGCTAAAACAGGCTCCGCGGCAGTGGTACAACACGTTCACAAGCACTCTTCTTCATCTCGGGTTCTCTCACAGCCAATCTGATCCCTCCCTCTTCGTCTACAATCACAACAAATGTCGGATTTACCTCCTTGTATATGTCGACGACATTCTCATCTCTGGGAATGATCCAACTGCTGTCACGACTATTCTTGCCAAACTAAGTCAGCAGTTCAATATGAAGCATTTAGGCCCTGCGTCCGAATTCATAGGTATTAAAATTACTAAATCTGACAATTGCTATTTTTTGTCGCAGGAGAAATACGTCCACCAGATTCTCGCTCAAGCTCACCTTTCGGATTGCAAGGAACTTGCAAACCCGTCATGCACAAAAATACCGGACTCGTTCAATCCGGAACCATTTCTGCACAATAGCAATCTATACAGGAGTCTCACTGGCTCTCTACAGTACCTTACAATCACTCGTCCTGATATATCCTACAGTGTGAATCAATTGTCGCAGCACATGCATGATCCACAGCCTAAACACATCTATCTTCTCAAGCGCCTACTTCGTTACCTTAAAGGTACGTCTAAATTCGGTATTCCCATTTCAGCTACTGACCTTACTCTTCAATCATTTTCAGATGCTGACTGGGCCGGAGATCCGGATTCACGAAAATCAACATCGGGCTATTGTTCATTTCTTGGCAATACTCTCATCTCCTGGACAGTAAAGAAACAACACACAGTTGCTCGATCGTCTACAGAGTCGGAGTACCGGGCGTTGGCCGCCCTCACGGCAGATGTGCTCTGGATCCGTCGCCTGCTATCCGAATTTGGTACTCCTCAGACCGATCCAACCAAGATTTACTGTGATAATACCTCCTCCATAGCACTTGCAAACAATCCTGTCTTTCACGCAAGAACGAAGCACATATAGATTGACCAAAAATTCGTTCGTGATCATATCCAGAATCACAATATATCCGTTCTTCCCATTAGTACAACCGATCAGGTCGCTGACATCCTCACAAAGGCGCTATCTACACCAAGGTTTCAAAAACTTTGAGACAAACTGACGATCATTCAGGATCCATCAGTTTGCGGGGGAGTATTAGAAACAAAACAACAAAATTACCATTTATAATTTTCGGTTTATGCTATGTACTGAAGATAACGTGTACTCTCCTGATTGGTTCTTTTTCTCTGAACCGTACTGTCTACTCTCTATTTATAGAGACCTATGGCTGTCACTCTTGATATGAAAAATAGTATTCTCTTTTACACTTTATACAAGAAATGCTCTCTTTCTTTTAGCCATCGTGTTCTTCACCGTGTAGTGGAATTAAGCTCAGGAATATAATGCTGAGGTATATATTGTGGAGCGAAGGAGCTCTCACCTGGATTTGTAATCCCACCTAGCTGCCTTTGAAATTTTTAATTAATTAATCATGTTGATATATTTGAAATTATTTAAACGAGTGTAAAATAAATGAATAAGATCAATTTTTTCTTTGGTTTAAAACACAAATAACTTGTACTAAAATTGAACGACGACGGTGGTCAGTGATGACAACTGTAGCAATGACAAGCAAATAACAACATCATCAGGTTACGGCGGTTGATGACTACGGGCTATGACAATAGTTGGTAGCGGAAATCAACAACAACAACAGAGTCGGTTTATATTATACTTGACAAGTTAGTCTGCATTCCTTCTTCGTTAAACCAAACACCTAAATTCCTGAAATCCCCTATATTGAAAATATGTTACACCAAACAATGACAAGCAAATGGCAGCATCATCGAGTTACGGCGGTGGATGATTGTGATGGCTATCGGCGGTCGATATCGAAGCTCAACAATGATGGGCAACAACAATAGTTGGTATCGACAGTCAATAGCAATAGCAGAGTCGGCTTAGAGTATAGTTGACAAGTTAATGTGCATTCCTTCTTCGTTAAACTAAACACCTAAATTCCTAAAATCCCCTATACTGAACATATGTTGAGATTTATAATAATTAAAATTTGATCTGAAATTCACGACCTAAATGTTTTCCATTGATGTAAAGTGCAGGTGACAAAAATTCAGGAGTTTTAGCTTCCCATTGTCATAACTTTAGCCATTACCAAAAATATTAATGGTTGGAGACCGTTTTTTTAGATGATAATTTACTAAAATGTTAATTGAGGAGGCATAATTTTAGCTATCTTAAACACAATTAAATGATGGTTTTATACTATAAAATTATAATTAATTGAGAATGTGGCGGCGTCTGACTTAAAACTTAATTAATTCATTGACTTTTATAAGATAATGAAGAGCCTGAAATGGCAATGAAAAATATGAAATTGAATGCTGTAATTACTCCTTAATTACACTAATAAATCTCCTTCTCTTCATCTCCTACCTATGTTATATAATCACACATACCTGAAATCATTCCATCATATCGCTTTCTTCAATGACAATGGCGCTGCAATTGCTCAGTAGCTTTCTTCCTCTGCTGCTGCTCCTCTGCTTCACCAACCTGACAATGGCCGCCTACAACATACTGAGCTTCGGCGCGAAGCCCGATGGGTGGAGGGACTCGACGCCGGCGCTGTTGGCCGCATGGGGAAAGGCCTGTGGAGACAAAAAGCCGGCGACTTTGGTCGTTCCCAAGGGATACTTCTTAGTCAGTCGAGCTTTGTTTCAGGGCCCGTGCAAGAATAACAACATTCGCTGGCTCATTCATGGCACCATCGTCGGAGACTCTGCTTACTCCGGCGCCTCCGAGTGGATCACTTTCAAGTACGTGGAAGGACTGTCCCTCTACTCCGCCACATTTGACGCTCGCGGTCAGTCTCTTTGGTCCTGTAAGGCCGCCAATCGCAGCTGCCCCACCGGCTCCACGGTACCTCTAATGACAGTCATCTTCCATTATTCTTTTCTTCTATAAAAAAGATGTCCTCATAGCAGATCTAAGTGTCATCCAGTTTGTGTTCATATCAGTAAATCATATGATATAAAAAATGTATGTTAATCTCAATACAATATGGATGTCATCCAAAATTATTATGATATTATAACAAAAATTCCAAAAGGATAAATTTAGACTAAGATTTCATTTGAGATAACTTTCTCACTAATTATTATGAGAATTTTGTAGCACAAAAATTTCTTATAAGGACATTTCCAACCGAAAAACTTATTTTTCACTTTACACTTCAAAATATAGTATTTATCTTCAGCCAAATTCTATTTCATAATCCAAAAGAAGAATATTTTGGATAAATTCTTGTATCAACCTAAAAAAATGGCATTTGTGAACAAAGTCATGTTAATATTGACGTCACACTGTTCACGTAGCAAGAATGGTGGCGATTTTGATGTTCGGGTGGAGCATCTGATGGACGAAAAATACATTTAACGTTCAGTTGAAGATGACTGTGGCTAAAAACTATCTCAAATGAAATCTAAATTAGTGTATCATATGATATACACAAAGCTCAACATAAAATGGACCACATCTAAGATGTTCTTATGCAAATCGAGTCATAATGGACTTAGTACTGAGATTATGATATGCATTAATTTCAGTGTAAAATGAATGGCATAATCATGAGGGAAATTGCTTCGGAACATGGTGTGTAATACCTTCCACTGTAATCTCCATTGTTGTTGATGATGATGAATTCATGATTCAGGCATTGACGATTAGCCAGTCGAAGAACGTGACATTGAGTGGAGTAACGGTGAAAAACAGCGAAAACTTTCAGATCGCAATCATGTTCAGCCAAGGAATAAGAGTGGAAGGAGCCACTGTAACCGCGCCGGTCGATAGCCCTAACACCGATGGAATCCACGTCCACATGTCAAGCCTCGTAAGCATCACCAACTCCACCATCCGCACGGGCGACGACTGCATCTCTCTGGGCACCGGCGTCACCAACATCTCCGTTCAGGACATCACATGCGGGCCGGGTCACGGGATCTCCATCGGCAGCTTGGGCGGGTCGCCTGGCGACACCATAGTGCAGAATGTGACGGTGAGCTCAGTAATCCTCACAGGAACACAGAATGGCTTACGAATCAAGACTTGGGCGAATCCATATGACGGATTTGTTAGCGGAATTGTTTTCCGGCACGCCATCATGAACAATGTGCAGAACCCTATAATTATCGATCAGAATTATTGCCCTGGCAATGCTAATTGCCCTAATCAGGTAAGTGCGTATATATATCATAGGTAAATAAACTGCTTAGTGCGGAATGAGAAGACTAATCGTTGATTGATCGATTTTGGTTGCAGAGCTCAGGGATAAAGATCAGCGGAGTACTGTTCGAAGACGTGAAGGGGTCGTCGGCGACGGCGGTGGCGGTGAAGCTTGATTGTAGCCGGAGCAATCCGTGCAGTGGAATTGAGCTTACGAGTATAAATCTGAGCTATAATGGGAATAAGAGGCGAATGGCCGAGTCATTCTGTAGAAATGTGGAGGGAAGGAGCTCTGGATTAGTAAACCCGCCCAGCTGCCTATGAGATTTTTATTTAATTAATTAGGTTTAGGGCTTAATTATTGGGATTAGAGTAATTATGAGTGAGATTATGGTTAATTATTATCGTTAATTAGGGAAGTCTCCGGCTAGCTGGTTAATCGCCATATTTTGAAGTGCTTGGCCGGCTACGTTCTGAGAGAGAGAATTAATTATTTTGTGCGGATACTGAATGTCGTTCGGAGATCAATCAGAAATATCATGTTACTTTGATGTGACGCATTCTGATTGGTCTTCGAATGACATTCTACGTCTGATCTCCACACAAAATAATAGAGAGAGAGAGAGGATGTTCTATGTAATTCTATTTATCTATTTGGAATTTTAGAAGACTGAATTTTAATTTTATTGTTTTTAAGTTAATTGATTAAACTAAAGTGATTATTATTTTTGATTTAAAGTATAATAGATGTAGTGTAAAGTTCAATAATGGCAGTTGATTATAAGGACGACAGTAATAACAACAAGCGAACAACGATAATGATGGACAATTGTAGCAACTATCACGATAGGCAATAGCGGTCAGTAACAGCTGGTAGTGACAACGGTTGGTAGTGGCGAACAACGTCACAAATAAAGTAAGCTTACAGTTTACTTGAAAGTCAGCTAAAATCGAACGAGTTTTGAATACATAAAAGGGAACTATGTAATGATTTTTGAAATTATCAAAATTTAATTGTACATTCTCTTCTCATCAAACTAAATACTAAAATTTCTAAAATTCTTTACTTTTAAAATATTTTACACTCATTTTTTCATCAAGCACCCCCTTCATGATTTTGAGATTTATAATGATTAAAATTTGATCTTAAATTCATGACATAAATTGTTTCCAATAATATAAAGTGCAAGAAGAGGCTAAGGTTTCGTTTGGGCAGCTTTCTTATTACTTTTTAAAGCAACTTTTTAGTTCAAAAATTAAAAATTTCACAATAAAAAAACAGTCACTTCGTTTGGGACGACTTTCTTACTGCTTCTAAAAGCGGCTTTCTAGTACAAAAAATAAAAATTTTGTACTAGAAAGCTGCTTTAAGAAGCAGGAAAAAAGCCGTCTCAAACGAAGCCTAGGACTTTATTTGAGATGACCTCCTTACTATTTTGTAAAGCTATTTTTTAGCACAAAAATCTCTAAAGTTGTTCCAAACGAAGCCTAAAATTTAGGAATTTAAATTACCATTGTTGTAACTTTAGCATTGCAAGAAAAATTAATGTCTTGAGAGATGATAACAAAATTGCAGGAGTTTTTAGATCGTCCAAGATTGTAGAAGTTGCCTTTGGGACGGTTCATAAAAATAATAATTAATAAGTTAATTGGATCGCCATAATTCTAGCTATCCCAAACACAATTAGTATGATGGTTTTATACTATAAAATTATCATTGATTGAGAAGATGGCACCATCTGATTTGGGGTTCGTTTGAAACAGCTTTCTTAAAAACTGTTTTAAGAAGCAAGAAAAAAGCCGTCTCAGGCTTTGCTTGGGGCAACTTTTTTGCTTGGGGCAACTTTTTTGTTGCTTCTTAAAGCAGCTTTCTAGTATAATTTTTGTACTAGAAAACTGCTTTAAGAAGCAACAAAGAAGCCGTCTCAAACGAAGCCTTAGGGAGCAGATATCTTGCTGTTTGTAAAGTGGTTTTGTAGTGGAAAAATTTCTTGAAAAAAAAAAAAATAGTGATCTAAAATTGTCCCAAACAAAACATTAAACTTAATGGGGATGATTTTTGTATTATTTTCTAAAAGAACTTTTTAATATCAAAATTTTTTGAATTTAAAAATTTTGACCTTAAGAAAACTATTTTAAAACAATAAAAAAATGTCCCAAATAAAATCTTAATTAAAGCGTTGACTTATTTAAGATAGTTAGGAGTCTAAAACGGCAATGATATATATGAAATTGAATGCCTTTCTTAGTGTGGTTATGTTTTACTTTTATTTACTTATAATACAATGAAAGTATAATAAATTATTTATAATTTGAAAAGTCGATTGCTATTTGCTCACTATGGCAAGATACATTTTAATTGATTCCACATAAAGGTGTACACTAACTTGAACTTGATTAATTAATCGAGCTTGAGCTCGAGTTTTATTCAATGAGTTTCTGCTCACAAGCCAACTCATTTATTATGAAAAAAAGAAAGTAATTATGACTTAAACAATTGTTATAATAAAATGATAAAAGAAATAAAAAATTATTAAAAAAAAAAAAGAATCACTTCGTATAAGAAAATGAATATAAATTTTAAACATTTTCAATAATTTTGTATTTGAAATCTTGAATCGTAATATAATTTAAATATATTTTATTTTAATATTTTTTAAACAAACCAGCTCATTAGTTAACAAGATAAATATAATTTATTTTAATACATACCAATACACACTAATACCCAGTAATACACTAGTCCACGCGTCATATTTTCATTGGAATCTGAATATAACTCTACGTCTGGTGTCCGCATGTAATAATTTATCCTATCTAAGGCTTCATTTGAAACGGCTTTCTTACAGTTTCATAAAGCAGCTTTTTGTAAAAAAATAAAATTTTTACTAGAAAATTGCCATCCCAAATAAAACCTAAAACAAAAAATGAAACATTTTTCAACTCCTAATGATTACCTTCTGCTTGCATTCCCAGCATCCAAGCATAAAACAGCTTATGAATGAGTACAAATGACCCTTCAAAAAAAAAAAAAAAAAAGGATTAAACTTGAGATTCCTTCATGGAGTTGAAATAAAAGTTTAAACTTACAGAGAATGAAATCAACAACTTGGAAAGAGAGAAATGCAACAGCTTGCCTATGCTCCTCCTGATCTCGATTCTATCATCTTTCTCTTCATAACGCGCACAATTTCCTCAGGCCTGTGCCACCATGTCGGAGTCATCACAATCTTTCGAACCAACCAGTCCTCACTCTCCTCTTCTGTCCACGAAAGTTTTTCAAAAGCCCTCTTCCATTTATCCATGACTCGCTTCAATCTCATGGTAGGCACACCACCTAAAAGATATTTGATGTAGTCCCTCGCAAGCTTGGTTAGTTCTGCACCTTTGATTATGTTCATATACTGCATCAGCAAAAGAAATTACTGATCAATCCATAAATCTTTGAGGATAGACTAGCATATTTTTCTGAGTCATGAAATGAAAGAATAAGATGAGCTTCTCCCAATCGAGAGATTATTTTGTGCGGACACTGGACGGGCGAACCGTCCGGTCCGCGCTTGGTACCGAGCACGGTACACTTTTGGGTGACGTGGGGCATTTTTGTTGGTCTTTGGACGACATTCGTACTCCGCAAAGAATAAAAATTCCTCCCAATCAGAGTTCTGATCTCTTTCTCGTTCCTCGCCTAATTTTTAGAGTTGCCAATAAACTATAATCACCGGCGAACTAAAACCGCTGGTTATCCCTTGCCTAGCAATGATTTCCATCAAGAACAATACAAAATTCAAAGCTTTTGAAGATGAACTACTTGTAACGGTCATTCATGTAGAGCAATACTAATTGATAGGGTTTTATAATGAATTAAATGGGTTAGAAGTTTAATAATTTTAATGGGTAGCTTAAGTTGTGTTAGTGCTTGATAGCTAATAGAAAGTTAATGGGTTAGGACGTCTTTGGAATTTATAAATACTCTCTAGTGGGGGTAGACTTAAAAAGACTTGGTTAGAAAATATTAAAAATGATCTTTCTTTATTATATTTAAATGAGAATTTGACTTTTAACAGGACACAATGAAGAAAAAAGATTCATGTAGCCAACCCCATGTAGTGAGACAAAGATTTGATGTTGTTGTTGTTGTCGTCGTCTATCATTCTAATGCCTTCTCCGCCCACCCAATGTTTTGAGTTGTTATTCTCGAATATGCCGTTCTTTGTGATCCCAATAATGGGATCTTATCATATTCATGATATGATAGCATGCTCAACATAGCAATAAGGATGGTTCCAAATTTAGTAAACATTAGTAATGAATGCCATAAGGAAAAAGTGTTTGAGAAAGGTACCACAAACAGGAAGGCAATGGTGGCCAGAACCACTTGCAATGTCTCATCTAAAACTCCAGCAAAACCTTCATCTTCTGTACCATCAGAGCCGCCACCACCACCTCTTCCAGGAGGATTTCCATCACCACTGTCACCGCCAAATTCTCCTTTTCGCATCTGATCTCTTAACATTTCTTGGATTGTTTTTTCCTTTCTCAAGCCTTTCAAAGCATCCTTCAGTGAATCCCATGAAAAAGACTGCAATGGTCGGAAAAATTACGCAATAACTAACCCAAGGAAGCTTTTAATATAGTAAAATGAGGTGACCAAGCAACCATCACGCTTGCAATGGTACCATGTGCTCTATTTCCGTTGCTCAAACCAAATTCAAACAAAAATTTTGTTCTTATTGGCACAGGGATGAGTAAGCTTAAAGAATTCAGCTTAGAATACAAGTTAAAGTTTTACTTAATATGGTTCTTGTTTTCTGAAACTGATAATTCGAAAACCATTTTGCAAATAAGCTTGAGAAAGTATCTCCCCAAACATATTCATTTAAAACTGAAATTAAAAAAACAAATCTCATAATTAAGTTAAAGATTTACATATTAAGTATTAAAATGACTTTTAAATTAGAATTTGACTCTTAATAGGACAAAATGTAGAAAAACAAATTCATGTAACTGGCCCCATATAGTGAGATAAACATTTATTGTTGTTTACTGAAATGACCAATTGGAAAAATAATTTGCCAAACATATTGAGAAAGCATCTCTAATAACATATAATTCATGTAAAAATGGAACAAAAATATCTCATAATTGGGTTGACAAATGTAATGGTATAATACTACCATAGGAGATTTACATGCATATCATTAAATCCTAATGTATTTCTATATGTAATGTCTAAACTTTTCTATTTACCTATATAATACCCTAACATCTAAATGTCAATAAATAAATGCATGAAAACATGTATTTCACTTTAGAAAAGCTAAAATTAATAATATTTCTCATGTTATTTAAAGATCAAGGCATTATATAAAAAATATATAATGATTTAGGTAGCAAATATGTAAATACAAAAGAACTTAATGGCATGCATGTAAAATACCCCCTACTACTATTGACCTAATAGAGAAAGAAGTTGAGGTAAAGAAGATGCACATCAAAGATACACCACAAACAAGACAATTAGCTTTAGCTGTGCCAATTACCTTGTTTTCACCCCTTGAGTTCCCTTGCCCTCCAAACAAGCATATTGGAGCGCAAGCTTTGCGCTTTGGAAAACTGTGAACAATACTTGGCATTTTATGATGTTTGAATGTTTGAGTTGGAGAAATACATGAAGTTGCCACATGAAGAAACGAAACCCGAGATACAGAGCAGGTTCGGCTAAGCCTTGTAGCAGGGATGCTAAGTTTCAAAGTGGTGTTGAATACATTACTATGTGTGCAGCTCATCCCTTGTCAGATCTTATGGCAATTAACAGAAGTATGTTGACTCGAGCATCAAACTGTAATTAGCACAAAAAATGATCAGGATAAGCAAAGCCTAATTTATAAAGTGCAAACAGCACATTACTGCCTACAGAACAATAATTTATTCTCATCATATGGAATTCTATTGTTGCAATGTAGCTCAAGTGCGATCAACTGTAGGTTGCCGGCAAGGTATTTGATGAAAAGCCGCTTAAGGACAATGCCGATGAAATTTGTTCAGTGTTGGAACAACTAGACAGAGTCGAACAAAAGCTATTTGGGCTTCGGGAAATTATACAGGACACCTTCCAAAGACTGTCTACGCTAGAAGCACAATCTAAACAAAACAATATTGAAATCCTAAATTGCTGACGACGAGCTACAACAACTAAAGGACTGTTTGGAAGCAGGATTTAGGCCGGATTTAGGCAAGATTTGAGCTAAATCCAGCCAAACGCCAAAAAATGCAAAAACTAAATCTTCCGGTAAGTATTAGCTGCACATCACGGCATTTTCGCCATTTTTGCCCTAAATCCCTGAATTCAAGAATCCGATTTTTTGGTGGATTTAAAGATTTAAACGAAGAAGCGAGGAAAGGGGAGAATTATCGTTACCTTCGCGGCGAGCTCCTGTAGCAACTTCCAATCCGACAGCAACAACGTCGTCGTCCGAGGCGGAGAAGCTTCACGTTAAGCAAACAGCAACGAAGAAATGAAGAGGAAACTAATTAGATATTACAGATGTAAATATTTATTTAATAATTAATTAGTAATAAAACATTTAACTGCTTAATTAGATAATTAGGGATGAGAGCAATTAGGGTTTCTTACAAACCCTAGGTGGTTCTTTGTCATTTTTTTTTTCTTTTGTTGAGTGGGCCTTCCTCTTCTTTTCTTGTCATGCATGGATCTTTCTACTAATTTTTCTCCGCCTAAATCACTTATGGATCCAAATTTTTCATCCGGAAAGTCCCTGTCGGGCATAAAGGCTTGGAACGGGTTATTGATTGCAAGACAATCTTCCCCAAAACAATTTTCTATTTCTTTTGTTTCTTCTGCTGATAATCTTATTCTCTTTCTGAAGAATATATTTCGGCTGCCTCTAAAAAATGGGAAATGACAGTGGTAGGATATTCTTTGTATAAGAGACTTTACTTTAAAGCTTTGAAAACTGCTATGCTTAGGACCTAGAAATTAAAAGGTAAACTTACTTTACTTCTGTTATAATGAAGGATTTTTTTAATGATGTTTTCTTGACTTGAGGATTATGATTTAATTTGGTCGGTAGGACTTTGGTTCTTTTTTGAAAAGCCTTTTATTATTAAAAATTATTTCGACCAAAACGTGAAGAATTTGTTTCTATTTCTCTTTGGATAAATATTTTTAATCTTCCTTTAGTCAGGTGGACGCTTAAGGGGCTTTCGAAGATTGCGAGTCTGATTGGGATTCCTATTGCTGCAGATTCCCTAACAGCAGAGCAAGCTAGACTTACTTTCGCTCGGGTTTGTGTTTCATTCAATAAATAATCTATTCTGCTTGATGAAGTTAATATTTCTGTTATTGATAATATTTTCCCTTTAAAAGTTGTTTATGTTTGAAAGCCTTTTCCATGTATGGGTTGAGGTTCTATTGTTAACCCCTCTTCTTTGTGTCCTACAAAACCCCAAGTTTCTAAGGATAAATTGGAGCCTAGTAAAGGAAGTAGGGATAGCAAGGTTTGGAAGTAGGGCTTCGCATCCTTTGCATCCTTCTCAACATTCTCATTCTCAAACTCAAATTAAACCACAATTGTATCCTCAATCTAAAACTAATGCAAAATCTCATTATGATCCCTTTTCGAGAATTTCTCACTCTTCTCGGGATTTAGATGAGTTTTAACAAAATTTGTTTTTGGAACTAGTAATTTAAGGACTTCCGGTGTTTTTTTCGAATGCAATTAATTTAATAAATGTGGAAGTTTCATCTACTAGTATTAAAGATGTTTTATCAAATTTAAATTCTTCAACAGACAATCTTCCTTCTGATTCTTTAGTAAATTCTTCTATTGTTTTATCTGCTTCTCATATTATTTCATCTTTGTCTATTTCTATTAAAGATTTTAATATTCATTATAAGTTTCAGGTATTGCAAACCATGAAGGGCTCCTTTGCTGAGAAAAAGGAAGGTGAATCTGTAATTGCTTTATATAATAAGAGAGAGTCTTCTTCTAATGATCTTGTTAATGAACAATCTGTTTTTAAAGTTTCATTAGCCTCTAGTACATGTACTATATCCAAAAAGGCCAAGAAGGCTACAATTTTGAACATTAAGCATTAATGAATTTTGCTAATATTATTTTCTGGAATGTTAGAGGCTTTAATAATTTGGACAGAGTTAATGCTTGTAAAGATCTTGTTGGAAATTTTGATGTGAATTTCTTTTATATTCTTAAAGCTAAGATAAAGTTGATGATCCTTGATTTGATGCTAAGCATGAGTTTTTTCAGCAAGAAGATAGTTGTCATAATTTTTATTTTTCTAATGTTGGTAGGATTTATTTTACTAATATTCTTACTATTAGTCAACTCATTCATGGTTCATTAAAGATTCGTTCTTCTTCTATTATTATTAATACTATTATCGTAATTTATGCTTCTAATTGGGCTGCTGAAAGAAATAATCTCTAGAAGGATATTCTAGATTTAGCTTCTAATATTTCTTCTCCTTGGATTTTATTAAGAGATTATAATTGTTGTAGATTTGCAAATAAAAAGCTAGTGGTAACTTTCTTCCTAGTTTTAAATTATGGGAGTTTAATAATCTTATTTTTAGTATAAAACCCTATCATTTTTCTTATTATTTAGTGAAAAATTTCAATTGTTTTGATCATTCTCCTCTTATTGTTTGTAATAAAAATAGGGCTTTTATGTGTAATAGATTTCTTTTTAAATTTTTTTGGTGGAAAAGGTCTAAAATTTGAGATTTACTTATTGAGGTTTTTGTTAAGTCTTCTGTTGGAAATCCTTTTAATGATCTTTATTTCAAATTGAGTAATCTTAAAAGTATCATCAAGAAACAGTCATGAGCTTCTTCTAAATATGTCTCTATTATTATAGAGACTCTTCCAAAATAACATGGTTTTTTGTTTAATTAGATTCAAAGAGATCCTTTGGATCATAATCTCAACTTAGCTTTAAAAGATGTTAATGGCCTTCTTAACTTTAATGTCTTTATGGTCTTCTTGGATTATTCAAAGTAAAAAAAGCTAAATGGTTGTCTTGTGGAGAAGATGATTTGGATTTTCTTTATTATAAAATTCGTTGCAGACAAAACATTAATAGGACAAAGGCAATTTTTTCTTCTAACGAGATTGTCTCGGATCTTAGGGGCATTTCTGAAGCTTTTGTGCAACATTTTTTATTCTTTTAAATTGGCTTTAGCCTATTCTAATAATATTCCGATTGATAATGTTATTCCTGATATTCTTATTTCTTCCTTTATTATTCCAGTTTCTATAGAAGAGATTAAGAATGTTGTTTTTTCTGATCCTTCTTTAACTCCTGGCCCTGATGCATTTACTTCTGACTTTTATAAGAATTCTTTGAGTGTGATTCTTTGTTTGGGTTATTTTTAAAATTCTTTTGAGATTAAATTTTTTTATGCTTAGACCTAATGTATTCAGCAGTTGAAATTTATTTTTTCTTTTAACATAGAATCAAATATTAAAATTTTTTATTTCATGATTGCTTGTTATTATATATACTTCATTTGGAAAGAGAGAAATAGAAGAAAGTTTGAGAATAATCATTAATTTGTTGATTTGATTTGCAGGCTTATTAAAAAATGCTACTTTGATAAAAATTTCTCACTGGGGTTCTTTTCATGATTGGCCCTAGTTTTCCCAACAAAAAAGATAATTATAATTATTATTAGTAATTATTTTTTTATTAAAATATTTAGTAGTGTAAATGATAATTAAATGCATAATTATTTCAAATAATAATTAAACACTTCATTAGATAATTACTGCTAAAATATTTATTAAAATAACGTCTAAATAAATAATTAGTAATTAAATTATTAGTTAAATTATTGAATAATTAAATTAACTTCTAATTATATTATTTATAATTATTACTTATTGATGTTAATTAAAACTAAAATCAATAAGTAACTCAAATTTAAAACACAAATATCATATGATTTAACAACCTTAAATCTTGAATAGCATTGTCAAACAATTTTTATGAATTAGGATTTAACACTCTCAAGGATTGTTTGGCCACTAAATTCTGATTTATTAAATCGTGAGTGTTAAATCTTGAAAACTATTTGGCAAGATAACTATTAAATCCTGTTAAATCTTGAAAACTATTACACGTATGTAACTTTATGCTATTTCTTCCATATATTTAAAACAACTCACTGCTAAGATATTTAGCCGGAGAGCCCGACCTAAAGGATTCTGTGCGGAAGCTGAACGCCGCAGGAGACCAACCAGAATGCACCACATCACCCATGTTCTCAGTTCCGTGGCTCGGTACTACTCGGTACCGCTGACGTGACTATTTTGGTTGGTCTCCGGATGACGTTCTACGTACGACCTAAAGGAGGGATCCTCTAGTTTAGAATTTATAATATAAAGAATTTTAGGGGGCATTTGATTGCTTAAAGAAATCAATTAAATAAAAATAAAAACTTTTAAAACAATAAATTTTATTCCATGTTGAATTTAGTTTAAATTTAATGATAATATTTAAATTGAGGATAAATTTTAAGGTGTTAATTATTTTTTTCTTTTTTGAGTAAAAAAAGCAAAAAGGAAAATATTGAAATTATAAATTATTTTTATTATGATTAAGTTGAAATAATAATTTACATTTTATTATATATATGTTTTTAAACTTTTACCTAAAACAGATAATAAAACATTCTTTTATTTTCTTGGTTTTGTAGTTATTCTTAGAAATTAATTCCCGTTTTAATACACAACTCTCCTTGGCCTATTGGTTGAGAGCTTAGGCTTCCAACTAAGAGGTCCAAGGTTCGAGTCTATGTGTATGCGTTGTGTGTGTGAGTTTGCCTTAAATGGCCTAAATGTCCCAAAAAAAAAATTCCTGTTTTAATAGAAAATGTAAAATAGTTTTACATTTTTTTTAATTCCCACTTTTAAATTTAATTTTAATGATATTCCTTTTACTTAAGAAGATAATAATAATTAAGCTCCCTCTTAAATTTTGTCCTCAAATTGAGTATAGCCAATAAATAAATTTCTAAAACTTAATGGTTTTATTTCACATGTAAAATAAATGAAAAAAGCTGTTATTTGAATTTTTGCCGACTATGTCCTCTACAATTCTAGGGTGTCAATTATTGAGCCGACTCGATAACCCGACTCAGAAAATGCAAGTTCGGGTCGAGCAGTCTAATAAATGGGTTGGATTCAAGTTCCAATTTTTTGACCTGTTTAAAAAATTGGGTTGGATTTAAGTCAACCAACTAACTCGAATTTGACACGGATTTAACCAGTCCCCGTCCGATCTCACTAGTCAGCCCCGCGCAAGCTCCTTGTGCAGAACTGAAGCAATTACGCTCGCACCAAATCCTTGCAATTGTGTAGGCACTCACAACGATGCAACCTCACTAGCACCAGTGCAGTCACACAATTGCGTGGTCCTGCCCTCGCACAGTCGTGCACTTTCACACTCGACCTTGCCCGCAGTCGTTCTCACGTAGTCCAGCACACGACCCGAGCTCGAAGCTTGCGTGTCGCACACGTTGGTTAGCGGATCGAGTTTGGTCAACCCGATAACCCAACAAGTCTGTTATGGGTCTGAATTTCTGACCAATTTGTCTAATCAAATCAGATTTAGTTTGGATTAGTTGAAGGCAGATCAGTTTCATATTTGACTAGAACTAAATCCGAAAAATCATTTTGGCACCCCTACCAAATCCTCACCATCTATGGCTAATGGACCTTAGCATATCCACCATACAAACCAAACGACTCTATCACATGGAGAAAAAAAAAAAAAAAGCTTTATTCTGTATATATAAAAAAGCTTTACATTATTAAATGATACCAAAATTTATTTCATTTTCATCAAATGATAAGATTAGTTTTTTTATTAGATAATTTTTAATTTTATTCAGTTAAATGAACCAAATTTGAATTTTTAACGGATTTTTTAAATCTAAATTGGATATTAATTCGAGTAAAACGACCGTTACCATTCCAATTTAAAAACATGGTTTCAAAACTAGCCGTTGCAAATGTGCTGTCCCATCTAACCCCAACGGTCAAGTTTCGATCTTTATTTTCTTTTTCCTCTTTCCCTTGCCTTCAAATACCTCACCTCTCACGCTCCATCTGCAAATTCTCCACCGTTTCACTCTCACTCTCAATCTTCTTCTTTTCTTCTCCAGTTCTGACAACTTTTAGTCATATTGCTCAATCCGCTTTTTCAAGAGCACCGCGATCTCTCTCTATTCCATGGGGTTATCCTCTACAGCTTCGTCAGACATGAGCGCCGCTCACTACCGCACGCACAAGATCTTCCTCCTGTCAAACTACATCCTCCTCGGTGCCGCCTCGAGCTGCATCTTCCTCACTCTCTCACTCCGCCTGATCCCCTCGGCCATTGGCTTCCTTCTCATACTCCTCCAAGCCCTCACCATCGCTGGTGCCATCTCCGGCTGTGCCGCTGCTAACTCAACCTCCAACAAGTGGTATGGCACCCACATGGTGGCCACAGTGCTCACCGCCATCTTGCAAGGCGCTGTGGCTATTCTCGTCTTTTCGAGAACATCAGAATTTCTTCTCGGCGGGCTCAGGTCTTATGTGAGGGTGGATGATGGAGAGATCATATTGAGAATGGTGGGTGGCCTCGGAGTGGCGATCTTCTGCTTGGAGTGGGTTGTTCTGGCTCTGGCTTTTGTGCTAAGGTATTATGCATATGTGGATGGAGATTGTGGAAGAAGGAATGCCAAAGTGCAGAGTGATGAGGAAATGAAGAACTGGCCTTGGCCTTTTCAGGTTTGATTTTGTTTTGATTTGAACAAGAAGACAGTGATTTAGAGGTTTGTTTGATATGTACTGGGAGAAGATTTGGATTTTGTCGCTTGGTTTGTTTAATTGTGTTCTTTTGAATTTGTTCTATTGTTTGCTATGAGAACTTTGGCTATATTGGTGTAATGACTTCTTTCAGAATACATATATTTGGTTCTTCAGCTCTGATTTTAGATGTTTTGGTGAAATTTTTTAGCCCTCTTCCTCTCTTTTTTTATCAATAGATGATAAAATGAACTAATTAGGAGAAGAAAGGGTAATGACAAGGCTAATTAAGAACAGAAATCCTGTACTGAATAAATTCCCTGATGTTAAGAATGAGGCACAGACTATGTTATTTGAACAAGTTGTCTTCTTTTTCAGTACATTTCGTAGTGAGATTTTGTTAGTGGAAGATTTTAGTTCTTAGTATGTGAATGGCTCAAATACTCTGTGTTTTAAAGAGTTGGGTTTCTGTTTTTGTTATTGTTGTATAAGTAATAGTGTGAAAACAATGAGGAAAGCGATAGAATTTTAGAAATCAAACATTGGGTAAAAGCTCTATAAATTCTCTTTCTCAAATGAAAATAATGTAATTATATATATGACTTCAACCTCTTCTTCATATTTAAAATAAGTGAAAACAAAATCTCTATATTTTAAAATATATGTTTCAGTCTGGAAATTGCATCAACTTCTTCACTGTGCATCAATCTTTCAGTGACGGCAAAAAAACATGGCCAGGGAGATATAGTAATCACTTTTATACTCATCTTAATCACTTTTCCTTAGCTTAAGAGGCACATTTCCAATGTTCTCCCATAGCATTTCATGCAATTTCATGAAATTCTGAACATGAAATTTAATTTTATATGATTCTACATTGAAATGGAATTAAATTTGTTATTTCAGGATAGAAAAAAATAGAAGGATTGTGAAGATGATATGAAGCCCCTTCCATTCCAACTAATGATTAGAGGCTCTTTATAAGATTTTCATTTTGACGGTTTTAAAAAATTGATAGGAAATCAAAGATTTTAAGACAATGATTTTTGACTTATACTAATATACTTTTTAGTACAAAAAATTATAGTTCAAAAATTTTTTCGTACTAAAAACATACTTTAAAAAGCAGTACAAAAATTATCCCAAATGAAGCCTTAAGAAGGCCTAAAGATTGTCTCTAAGATAACCACGATCAACTTTAATTGAGCTAAGCTCGAATTGAGTTGAGTTAGCTTGCAATATCTAAAATAAGCAACATAATTAGATGGCATTTTGCTTAGAGGTTATTTGGTTTGATAAAAAGTGAGTCTAAAGTATTTTAAATATAAAGGTTTTAGAAATTTTGGATCTTGGTTTGATAAAAAAGAAAAGTTGAGTAAAATTTTGATGAATTCTAAATTCATTGTGGTTCCTTTTTGATGAAGTAAGAACCCATTATTTTTGGTTGAATTCCAAAATGCACCGCAAGCTAACATTGCTCTCAAATGTTGGCTACCCGCTACTCATTCACCACTCTCGCTATTCACCATGATTTTTAAGTTTTAGATTGCATTCATTTTACTTCGAACCAAATAAAAAAAAAAATTAATCACCTACATTTAGTTTACATTTATCTAAATAAATCTAAACATATCAAATATATTGCATTCCTTTTATACAATATTCAGTTGCTATTTTAGAAATCTTTAAATATTTTTCTCATTATTAAAAATAATTTTCTTATTATTCCTCTCTTCTTTTTCTTTAAAAAAAAAAAAGGGCTAACCTAATCTCAATCAAATAAATATGGGCTCCGTTTGGGACACCTTTCTTGCTAAAAACTTTTAATTCAAAAATTTTTAGTAATACAAAACCGTTTTAGAAAGTAACAAAAATATTGTCTCAAACTAAGGCTTCGTTTGGGAAGATTTTTTTACTGCTTTCTAAAACAAAGTTTTAATAAAAAAATGAAAAAATTTGTACTAAAACTCCGTTTTAGAAATCAATAAAAAAGCCGTCCCAAACGAAGCCTAAATCATAGGCTTCTTTTGGAATAGCTTTATTGTTGTTTTTTAAAATAATTTTTTAATACAAAATTTTTTTTGTGTGAAAAATTTCTTTATAAAGCTACTTCAAAATATTATGAAAAACTGTTCCAAACGAAACAATAGTTTTTAACAAAAAAGAACTCAATCGTTAAGGACTTTGCTTAATTGCGTGCTGCATGTGCTGACATTCCAAAGACAGCAGCGTTGCCTCAATATAATATCTTCAGAAAACAAAAAGGGGAGCTTACAGCATTGAATCAACCGAAAAAAAAAAAAAAGGAAAAGAGATTTCCACGTGAAGCTCATTAAGCATGCTAATTATACTAATTTACTAGATCTTAGGCCATAATTAATTAGGCCAAATGACATAATTTTAGCTAAACACGCGTATAAAGTAAGCTATACTGTCATCATCATCAGCCAATTTATTATTATTATTATCAAGGGTAGAACAAGTCTTAATTTTCAGAGGGAAGTGGGGAGCAATTGCCTAAAAAACTCTTGTTATAAAGACTAAAAAATAAATAGAGGAGGACAAATTACCTAAAGAATCATATAATAATTTTTTAAAAAAGTTTTTAGGGTAGTCAATTGCCCCCCCTTGAGCTTATAGTGAATCAACCCCTGATTATTATTATTATTATTATTATTCAGGAATGTAGGTATCTACCTACTGACACTCCTGTAGAGGAGTCGCCTGACGGAACAACTAATCTCTCGACGGGCCTAGCTGCAGCCAACTCCACAGTTGACGAAACACACACTCATTTTCTCCGCACTTATTATTATTATTATTATCGGGACATTTATGCCAATTAAGCCTTCTTAAAGTTAAATTTTATTTATATATTTTATCAATCAATATATAGATTGATTATCAATATATTGCACTTATTTTAAAACTAATCTAATAACTTTAAGGCTCGTCAAATCAGGATATTCTAATAAAAGCCTTAGAAAAGTTAGTATTTCATCAATCAATATATAGATTAGTTATATATGTATTAATTGCACTCATCTTAAAGCTATTCTAATAGTTTAAAAACCAGTTTGATCAAAATACTATAATAAACAAAATTTTGCTTACATCAATTTAAATTAGAGCTATAATACTAGAGAAATTATTTTGTACGAAGTCTGAACGGGAAGAACCGTTCAGATTGTATGTACACATTTGTACATAATGTGTACGTACACTCATATATCCGAACGGTTCTTCCCGTCCAGACTCTATTACTGAGGACTGCATAGGATTATTATAATAAAAATAGCCATGTGGTTCATTGCTAACCATCATGAATGAAATATAAAATCAAGGAGTTGCCATTGAACTAACCCAATTACTTTTAATCATTCATTCTCCCACGCACAACCAAAAAGAAAAAAAAAAAAAAATATATATATATATATATATATAATAATATAAGTCACTTTATAAAAAAATCCAAATATATATATATATATATATATATTCATGAAAATACTATATAAGTTCCACTCTATCTTGAACACCTTATCTTCCTCAAGAAAAGCCACATTGTCATTGCTCCAAGAGAATTTTCAAGGCCTCACAATCCTTCATGGCTAAGTAAGATTAGCACTTCTAGCTAATATATTGTTGTATTTATATATCTTAGGTTTCGTCTGGAACAACTTTTTTACTGCTTCTTAAAACAGCTCTAAAAAGCTGACACAAACGAAACCTTATATCTTATCAAGATTACAAGCTGTTTATATATATTAAAAAAAGAAGAATGTACACATGCAGATGGTGGACAGAGAAGACAGTGGCTATTGTGACCGGAGCAAACAAAGGGATAGGTTTTGCTATTGTGGAGAAGCTTGCAGAGCTCGGATTAATGGTGGTTCTCACTTGCAGGAATGAAATCAAAGGGATAGAAGCGGTTCTTTGCTTAGCCAAGAGAGGCCTCACTGTTGAGTTCTGCAAATTAGATGTTACTAGCCATGAATCAATCTCCAAGTTTGCTTGCTGGCTTAATGGCAGATTTGGAGTTCTTGATATTCTTGTCAGTACAGTATATTACACATTAAATTCATTTGATGATTCTTATATTATTAGTTATAAGTATGTATATGTTGCAGGTGAATAATGCTGGTGTGTCATTTAATGAGATTGATAGCAACAATGTGGAGAAGGCAGAGCTTGTGATCAGAACAAACTTCTATGGGCAGAAGATGCTCATTCAGGAGCTTCTACCGATGTTCCGGCGGTCGGCGGCGACGAAGAGTAGGATACTCAATATCAGCTCCCAGCTTGGCCTTCAAAATGTGAGTATGTCTCTTGAATTTATTTTGAGATGAGTAAGATTTCGTTTAGGACGGCTTTCTTATTGCTTTGTGAAACTATTTTTTAGTGAAAATATATTTTAAAAACAAGAAAAAAGTGGTAGTTTAAGGCTTCGTTTAGGACGGCATTCTTCTTGCTTCTTAAAGGAGTTTTTTAATATAAATTTTTTAACTACAAAGATGCTTTAAGAAGCATCACGAAAGCCGTCCCAAACGAAGCCTTAAGATGTCCCAAACGAATTAGAACGGCTTTTTATTGCTTCTTAAAATGGAATTTTAGCTAAAAAATTTGTAATAAAACTCCATTTTAATAAGCAATGAAAAAACCGTCCCAAAATAAAACTTAAGGCTTTGTTTGGGACAACTTTCTTTCTACTTTTTAAAGCAGCTTTCTAGTATAAAAATTTTAATTTTGTACAAAAAAGTTATTTTAAGAAGCAGAAAGAAAACCGTCCATAACAAAGCCTAAATCTAAAGTTTTGTAATGCTACTAAAATTATGATGAGCAACTAAGGGTTCGTTTGGAATGGATTTCTTTCTGTTTCTTAAATCACATTTTTATTTTTGTATTCAAAAGCTACTTTAAGAAGCAGAAAGAAATTTGTCCCAGACAAAGTCTAAATTGAACACCTGGAAATGCATGCGACTAAATAGACGACACCTAAAAAGTCTATGAACTATTTGGAAGGTTTAGTATATTTAGTGAATATTACTTATTGTATATACATTTGCATTGCAGAAAGTGAGTAATCCAGCACTGAAGAACTTGCAGAAAGAGGAAGAAATCTCTGAAGAGAAGATAGACTATATGCTAAATAAATTCGTTGAAGATGTGAAGAAAGGAACCTGGAAGGAAGCTGGATGGCCTATGATTTGGACTGATTACTCTGTCTCCAAGCACGCAGTAAATGCTTACTCCAGATTGCTCTCTAAGCAGCAGAAAGGCCTAAACTTGAGCATTAATTGTTTCTGTCCGGGATTCACAAAGACGGCCATGACTGGAGGAATGGGAACTCATACTGCACAAGAAGCAGCTGAGGTTGCAGTTAGAGTTATTCTGCTTCCACCTGAAAAATTGCCCACTGGAAAGTTCTTTAAATGGCTCAGTCCATCGTTGTTCTCTATGTTGTAGAAGAAAGGTGACAAATAATTTATTGAGTGCAGACTACAGAAGTACACAGATGGAATACACAATCAGTTCAGAATTTGCATATAAATTAATCATTACATATAACTTTAGGCAAGCATTTGAGTCCCAGGTTTATACTAAGAATGATAATCCTTGTATAAAGGATCATGTAGCCACGCCCCTTAAGGGATTCTGCCCTTCTAATGTTTCTCCTTTGCTTCTTCATTCTACCCCTTACCTACCTCTTATGGCATTCATTCATCCAACTTTTGTAGCTTGTCTTCTCTCTACCAAAATGTTATTATCATATATCAAATTCATCTAATTCTAGTTGTCTTTTTTAATCACATATAGAGAGCTTCATATGATTTGTTCTAAATTCAAAATCAATGATTTCAATTTAGATTTTAGCCAAGTATTAGACAAGTCCATTGGACCGGTCTAGCCAATCCTACAAGACCGGGCCATGCGAAACAATCGGAGAAGTTCCACCTCCTGTATGCTCGATTTGACCACCCAAGTCTGACAAAGCTGTTTAGGAAGGTTTTTGATGGGAGTTAGGAGGGAAATTTCAAAGGAGGGGTTGTTTAGAGATTTCCTTTTGAATTGTATGCATTAAATAGTTTGTTTTCCTAGGGTTAGAACATCTTGAATTTGGCTGAAATTTGAGATCTCTTAGATTTTTTAGGCTCTAGCGGTGTGTAGAGATTTGGGAGAGATAAATCCTCCTCTCGAATAGAGGATCAATTGTATCTTGGTATTTCCGTTTCTATTTCATCAAATAATACAAATTATCTTATGTTTTCCTGGTTTTGTGTGGATTTTTGTCGAGAATTTTTGCTGTTTTTCAAAGATTGCTAGGAAATTCTTGAGATCAAATAATACAAAAATTCAATTATGAATGCATTTTTATTACACTTTTGCTGTCCTTTTGCAAAAGCGCAGCAAAAGCATAACAAATATTCAATTATTTAGTAAATATTAAATATTTGCTACCCTTTTACTGACCTTTTGCAAAAGCGCAACAAAAGAACAGTAAAAGCGCAGCAAATATGGACAATTCTCTTTGTTTGGTGTCCGCATATAATAATTAGTCCTTTGCCTTCTCTATCAAAGTGTTGAGTTGTTTCTTGTTCTGAAAGAATGCAAAATGATTATATTCATTGCTATATGATTATATTCAATTAGTTCTGAGCTTAAGGAAAAAACGGAAGTAGGTTAATGGATAAACAATGGGTGAACGTTACATCATATTTATGCAGCAATGAGAATGCAATTTACAGTTAAAGATCACTCAAATAAATATATTTTCAACAATCAATATGCTAAATCATCAAACAATACGATGTTGGCCAACCATATTCTCCTACACTGTGCTCCTCTTCTATTTACTATGTCACACAAAAAATGTGCTGAAGCATTGCTATTTCCGGAATTTGCTTATCAAATAAAGATATGCACATTTTTTTCTGTAGCACAAGTTTGAATCAAACAAAAAAAGCACCTCATTTCCTGAGAGACGCCCATCTGGGACTAACAAACTCTCTTCACTTTCATTTTGATCATCCTCAAGATTTTCAATGTCTAGATTCATCTTTCTTGTATTCCTCACAGTCCAAAAGACATTGACTTGGTTCTTCCTGCATAAAAGTTACACATAATAACAGCTTTCTTAAAAGTACTAACTATATGTGCATAAAATTGATATGTTCTATTTCTTCCAATGCAAAATCACTTCATTAATTTTATCTGGTCAAGTGTTCTCCAAATATCACAAACATTCCATGAAAGAAATTCAAAGTTAATTCTACTAATGGTTATTTGTATGTGTATTTAACTGACATCTATTCTCTTCAAATCCAAAATCTAAGTATCATAAACCCATGAAATAAATTCTAATTCAATTTGAAGTACCCTGGAGTATAAAAAATCATAGATTTTGTTGTGTGCCAGAACATTTGCGGCGGTAGAGAGATATAGGGTTTAGCATCCTAAAATATGTTCCGGTCCTTTGATTTGGGGTCATTTGGCTCAAATATGACCGGTTTTGGTGTTGTTTAGTTCGTTTCATTGAAACATTTAATCTGACTATAAGTTTATTGAAATAGGTGGTCCCAATTTTAATTTTTGAAAGTTTTCCATTCACATATGTTTTGAGATTCGTGCCTGATCAAACAATTTTTGGTGACTTATAAGATCTCTTATAAAGTAATATAAGCATCCGTCAACAAAAGTATTGCTGCTCCACATACACAAAAAACCAAGCCTGAAAAATGCATGAAATGACATGTCCCTGGATTAATGATTTTGGAAATGAAGGGTAGTTTTGAACAAGCTTTATGATCATAAGCTTAGAAACCAAAGTTAGATCATCCTCCAGCCACAGAGAACCGAGGCATGGTAAAAAAAATAAATGGATGTTAAACCTACAAAATGGGAAAAAGAAATATTCTGCTTACAGATAGTTAGCTTCTCTTTTTGGATCTCTATCAACTTCTCAGCATTTTGTTTATTTTTCACAATTGTCTTGGCTAGCTCTTTCTTTTTCTAACTTCGCTTTTTTCTCAGCCCTTTATTAAGGAAAGCAAATTTCATCAGTAGAAATAAAGCATAATGAGAAAACAAATTGCGATATGACGAACACCTAAGGGATTAGCTCCATGCATCTCAGTAGAGCTCCTTTCCATAAATCTTTTTGGCGAATGAACGGATTTCTGTAACATTCAATGGTCTCCCAAGACTCTGAGATCAGGGACATGAACTGAAGGCCTCATAAATGTTGTCAAGGAATAGTGTCAACATAAGTAGAAAATGGTTGTCTAGCAATAACAAGCATTGAAAATGAACAAACTCTTTACTTTTTTAAACTACGAATGTACCAACTTCAATCGGCAGCAAATTAGCATTTAATTTTTACCATAAATGCAATTAACATTGAAAGAAACCTTAAAACCCTTAACTCACTTGAAAGAGTGGAATTCCTTTCATGAATTGTTTTTACATCTGATGCGGTGAGCTTTGAAAGTCATTTTTTATTTTATTATTTTTTTTACATAAAAGCTTGAAATTCCATGTCTGCAAGCTGAAAAGGCAAATAGCCTGAAATTAATCTAAACTACAACAAGAAGTGACTATCAAGGAAAACTAGCTGGCACGAAAATCAATGGAGAACTAGCTGAACCCATCACCTCCCAGCACCAAAAGCACTTCATGGATTCATCTTCCAGCACATCAACATCCTCATTCCTTACCCCACACAGTGTTATCTTACCTTAAAAAAGCATAGAATTGCGAATTTAAGAAAATGCTATTCCTAGCTAACAAATTTGTAGAGTAAGAGAGTTTTGCATACTAATTTTGCACAAATATCCAACACACGAATAGATAAAAAAGAAAATACGGGTGTCATTAAAATTCTCATGTGGAAAATTTGAAAAGGGGAATTACAATGGGGCTTGACCCAACTAAAATGATTCTACTATGTGAGTGTCGATTACATATATTTGTTTGTCCCATAACTTGAAGACTACATGATTACAAAAGTATGGAGAACTTGTAGAAGATATTGCGGAGTTGGTATGAGGCGAAATGTGTTCATATGATTGTATTTGAATAATAATGATCAGAGATTGATGGTTAGGTAGCGGCGGTGCAACGACAATGGTTGAGTGGTGGGGTTATTATAATGAAAATCGGACGATGGACCATCGTCCAACGACGGTCTGATGATGATGGTCAAATGATGAAGATCGAACAACACGTGTCAAAAGGTGGTATGACAAGAACCATCGGGCAGTGAAGGTCTGACTGTTTCGATTGGGCCACAAAGGATTGATGGCGGCGATCGGGTGGTGGGCTGATGGCGATGATGCTCAAGTAAAGCTCTGAGATTTCCTCCACCTCCTTATAAAAGAAAAGGATGCTCACCTGTAGCAAACGGGCAAACTGCAAAATTTAGTGAAGGAAACTGTTGTCCCTCTTGTAGATGAAGCTTATTGGACGAAACTATTAAAGGTTACTTGTACTAGGTCATACATTAGTGTCATAAATAACCCGTATAGTATTACATGTGTTTGTAATGAAAGCTAGGCTATAAATAGCCGGCTCGGTACCCTGTTAAGTAATAATAATATTTCCTTTTGTTAAACCATGTCTCTGTCTTTATGGTATCAGAGCTCGGCTCAAGTAGTTCTTTCTTGATTCGCACAGCTCGCTCTCCATCGATCGTTATCCTGCCATTTTTTCGCGTTCTTCGCTAGATCTAAAGAAGATCGGCGTTAACATGGAGGATTCAGGCACATCGCTATCATCAACCCCAAATGATACCATCGCCAAGGAGTACAATATACCGGCTGCTCTCAAATTTGTGATCTCGAACATCAAGATCATAGTATCGACTCAGTTAACCTCTGAGAACTACGCAGTTTGGCGCTCACAAATCCTCAAACTCCTCACGACCAATGGTTTTTCAGAGTTCTTGGAGCAGTCGGCATCTCCACCGACCAGGTTCGTTGATCTACCTGAGGGGCGTCAAGAGATCAACCCGAAATATAGAGAATGGGTTCTTGTGGATCAGAATCTAGCAGCAGCGATCTGTTCAACGATCTCACCAGCCATTTTACCATATGTCATTAATCTCGATTCAACTTCTATGATCTGGGTGACTATCGAACGACGTCTACAGTCGTCGAATAGATCAAGAGTAATACAGCTACGCAATGAGCTACACAACATCAGAATGAACAATCAATCTATGATTCAATACCTTACTCAAATCAAGTCTATAGCAGATAATCTCTCAGCGGCAGGGATGAATCTTGATCAAGAAGATATCACCCTATACACGCTGAATGGGCTTCCATCTTCATACAATGCGTTTAAAATGTCGATCCGCACGATGCTTCATCCGATAGATCTGGATAATCTTTACTCGCTTCTGATTAGCGAGGAGATCAATATTCAGGCTGATTCGCTGAGAAATACAACTTTGCAAGAATCATCTACCGCCCTGTATACATATCGGGGTAGAGGAAAACGAACAAGAGGACGAAATTCATCTCAAACGTCCAGAACAAGCTCCGGGCAGCTAGTTCAGTGTCAGATTTGCAATAAAAAGGGACATACAGCAAACAATTGCTGGCATCAATCAAACCTGACCGTTAATCCTCCGGAGACACAGAACACCTCATCCAGAGCAATGATAGCGCCAACGGAACAAGAAAATCAGGACTGGTACCTGGATTCTGGTGCGTCAGCACATCTCACTCACTCTCTGGACAACGTTTCTCAAGCCATCTCATACAATGGTAACGACAATATCACCATAGGTGACGGCAGAAATATACCTATTGCACATTCTGGCAAAGGTATTCTGCCTACACCTAGCAGTAAGCTGAAACTTCAATCTCTATTTCATGTTCCAAATCTCTCATATAACTTGTTGTCCATTTTTCAATTAACAAAAGACAACAACGTCTCTGTTTATTTTGATACTAATGGGTTCATTATCAAGGACTTGAAGACAAATCACACCATTCTCTCGGGACCAAGTAGAAAGGGACTCTACCCGATCAGTACAATCAAATCTTCGATGAATAAGAAGGCGCTAGCTGCAGTCTCCAACCCGACTTCATGGTGGCATCAGCGTCTTGGACATACCAATTACCAAACGCTTCGTTTAGTTTCTAATACAAATAAATCTTTGAATATTCTCAAGAATGTTTCTGTGTGTGAACATTGTATAGCCTCTAAAGGCCACAAACTAATCTTTTCTCATACTGCAAGTCGTTCGTTAACTCCTTTACAACTTATACATACGGATGTATGGGGACCATCCCCAGTGTCATCTCATCAAGGATTCTTGTATTACGTAGCTTTTATTGATGATTTTTCAAAATTTACGTGGGTTTTTCCTATACACAATAAATCTGATGTGTTTTTCCAGTTTGTTCAATTTAAAACACAGGTTGAAAAACAAACCAACTATCAAATCAAATGTCTAAGATCTGATGGCGGGAAAGAGTACTTAAATTCGACATTTGCAAACTTTCTCAATCAACATGGCATTCAACATCAAACATCTTGTCCTTACACGCCAGAACAAAACGGATCGGCGGAACGTAAACATCGGCACCTCATAGAAATGACTAGAACTCTATTACATACTGCATCAATGCCATATACATTTTGGCCAGATGCTGTTCTCACAGCATCCTATATAATAAATAGATTGCCCTCCATACACAATAATCTCAGTTCACCTCTTCAATTGTTGTACAATAAACAGCCGAATTACACATTCCTCAAAATTTTTGGATGTGCCTGCTTTTCGTGGATACCACCTGTTCAACGACATAAGCTTGAACCACGTTCTCGGCAATGCGTATTTCTGGGTTATTCATCTATATCCAAAGGATATAAATGTCTTGATCTTAATACTAATAAAATTGTTGTTTCAAGGCATGTAATTTTTGATGAAAGTAAATTTCCTTTTCAGCATTCTGCTCCTCAGTTTACCATACCTGAACAAATGCCATCAAATCCGTCCATGCTGGTTCCAACACACGGCGCTGCACCTCCGGATATCATTCGTCATCCAACAACACATCACACTTCCCAGCAAACACCTAAGATATCTCAGGAAGCTGTTAACTTACCTCCTAACACATCGGACAGGACTGGCAATACACCACGTGAAACCATGCAATTCAGCGATCTGCCTGTCACCATACCAAACCTATCTAAACATCCCATGACTACACGTTTACAATCAGGTAAATTGAAACCCATTCAACGTCTTAACTTACTGCATATGCAGGAGTCCAATACTACAGACACAATGTCTGATCCAACAACGTATCAAGAAGCAAGCAAACACAGTCATTGGAGGGCGGCAATGGCAGATGAATTTTATGCACTTCAACGACAGGGAACGTGGGATCTTGTACCTCTTCCTCCAAATACATCTCTGCTAGGAAGCAAATGGACCTTTCGTACCAAATACAACTCTGACGGCACGGTGGCTCGGTTCAAAGCGAGACTGGTTGCACAAGGAAATACCCAACAATACGGAGTGAACTATCTCGAAACGTTCAGCCCCGTCGCTAAGTTTACTACCATTCGCACTTTTCTTACAATAGCTATTCATTATAATTGGCCGGTTCATCAAATTGATATAACAAATGCTTTCTTACATGGTAAATTAAATGAAACCATTTTTATGAAACATCCTAAAGGATTCGAGGATGACACTCAACCGAACTACGTGTGCAAACTCAAGAAAACAATTTATGGTTTGAAGCAATCTCCTCGAATGTGGTTTCAGATGCTCTCCACTCACCTCCAGTCGATTGGGTTTGTCGCTGGCAAAGCAGACAGTTCTATGTTTCTCTTCTCCAAAGACGATGTGCAACTGTTCATGGTCATCTATGTAGATGACATATTGCTCACGGGCAATAACAACAAGATGATCACATCCACCATAAATCAATTGAAGACCAAATTTGATATGAAGCATTTGGGTCTTGCCCACAGCTTTTTAGGCATACAGATCACCAGAACAAATAATTCCTTCTTTCTCTCTCAGTCTCAATATGCCAACAGCATCCTCGATATAGCTGGAATGTCCCAGTGTAAACCGTTGGCTAATCCATCATATACAAAACCTCCGGTTCCACAGGCACAGGAATTTCTCGGGAACGATCCTAAACTCTACAGGCATCTAGTGGGATCACTCCAATACCTCACGCTCACTCGACCGGACATCTCATTCGCTGTCAATTCACTTTGTCAACACATGCATAATCCGATGTCTTTAGATTTTCTGTTCTTACATCGGTTATTAAGATATATTAAAGGAACACTAACTTACGGTTTGCCTATAACGCAGGGTGATCTTGTGTTACAATCATTCTCGGACGCCGATTGGGCTGGAGACAAAGATACGAGAAGATCCACGACTGGATACTGCACGTTTCTTGGACACACTCTAGTATCATGGAGCGTCAAGAAGCAACATACTGTGGCAAGATCATCCACTGAAGCGGAATACAAGGCCATTGCTACGGCACTTACAGACATCATTTGGCTGCGCAGACTGTTACTCAACTTCAACATCTCTCTCACCAGGCCGACAACTCTTTATTGTGACAGTACATCTGCAATCGCACTGGCCAACAATCCTGTGTTTCACGCACATACAAAACACATCGAGATCGATCACTATTTCATACGAGATCATATAAATTCAAAGACAGTCAATATCTTCCCTATCTCTAAAAAAGATCAAGTAGCCGATATTTTTACCAAACAACTTTCTACCTCGCGGTACCAGCTGCTTCGCGACAAGCTCACGGTTCATCAAACACCATAAGCTTGAGGGGGTGTATTAAAGGTTACTTGTACTAGGTCATACATTAGTGTCATAAATAACCCGTATAGTATTACATGTGTTTGTAATGAAAGCTAGGCTATAAATAGCCGGCTCGGTACCCTGTTAAGTAATAATAATATTTCCTTTTGTTAAACCATGTCTCTGTCTTTAGAAACCCACCCCTTTACAGAGTTCAAACATTTCATTAAGCTCCTTTTGGCATTCCAAAATGAAGAATTCCATACCCTCGCCATTTAAGCTCCCAACCCGCATTACCTTCTGTAGCAGATTTTGAATCTGATTCTACTTTCTTAGATGCTTCCATGGGGAAACTACTACCATGAACCATTCCTTCGCGAATCGGCTCAGCTCTTCCGGACTCCTCCACTATAACAGCGTGCACGAAGCCACCAAAATCGATGCTTTCTAGGGTTTCTAGATCAATGAAAGAGACGCTCATTTAAAAAGGCCCTAAGCTAACATTGCATCAAATCCATGATAAAAAAGATACAGTTTTAGACTCCATTTCAATTGGATTAAACCGATTCAAGCAACCATTTCTCCAATAAAAAAATTCAGAAAAAATAGGGATTAACTCACTATAGAATCCATGATCCGAGAGTGATTCAGATGTCACCAAAGAAAATGTTTGATTGCTGTCAATTTGGGAACGTTCCATTCTCACCCTACACGCTTAGGGCTAGATCATCCGCCGAAGAAAAAAAAAAGCGTGGCAGAGATTTTTACTAGCGGAGCCTCAAATTCAAATATATATATATATATATATAAATATATATATATATATATTTATATATATATATATATATATTTGAATTTGAGGCTCCGCTAGTAAAAATCTCTGCCACGCTTTTTTTTTTCTTCGGCGGATGATCTCGCCCTAAGCGTGTAGGGTGAGAATGGAACGTTCCCAAATTGACAGCAATCAAACATTTTCTTTGGTGACATCTGAATCACTCTCGGATCATGGATTCTATAGTGAGTTAATCCCTATTTTTTCTGAATTTTTTTATTGGAGAAATGGTTGCTTGAATCGGTTTAATCCAATTGAAATGGAGTCTAAAACTGTATCTTTTTTATCATGGATTTGATGCAATGTTAGCTTAGGGCCTTTTTAAATGAGCGTCTCTTTCATTGATCTAGAAACCCTAGAAAGCATCGATTTTGGTGGCTTCGTGCACGCTGTTATAGTGGAGGAGTCCGGAAGAGCTGAGCCGATTCGCGAAGGAATGGTTCATGGTAGTAGTTTCCCCATGGAAGCATCTAAGAAAGTAGAATCAGATTCAAAATCTGCTACAGAAGGTAATGCGGGTTGGGAGCTTAAATGGCGAGGGTATGGAATTCTTCATTTTAGAATGCCAAAAGGAGCTTAATGAAATGTGTGAACTCTGTAAAGGGTTGGGTTTCGCCCTATAAGCTTCATCTAGAAGAGGGACAACAGTTTCCTTCACTTAATTTTGCAGTTTGCCCGTTTGCTACAGGTGAGCAGTCTTTTCTTTTATGAGGAGGTGGAGGAAATCTATGAAAAACTTAAAGCATGGGAAGGGAAGTTAGGGATCACCTTTGATACTTCATCAAAATCAGCTTGGTCAAGCACGAATCTCAATGCACATTTCAATGGAAAACTTTTAAACATTAATTCAGTACCATTCAAACTTCAATTTCAAAATATTATAGTCAACCTTATTGGCCTTGGACTGTCGGGTTCGACGTGGGGAAGGGCCAGGGATCTCTCTGGAGCTCTCACACAAAATTTTAAACGTTGAGGCGGTCTAGAGAGGGAGTAAGAGTCAAAAGTCAATAATTAGACAAAATATTTGATATTTAAACCCCTAGCCCTACTGTCAACGGCTTGGATTGAATCTAGAGTTCGTTGGGAGGGAAATCCCGCCTATTTGGCCGTGGAATTCATTTGAAATTCGAAGGAGTTAAATTAGAGCCTTCAAATGCATTAATTGGGCTCCTAATGGGTGATTATGACCCATTAATGGTCAAATTTGACCGAGTCAACATTTGACTTAGTCAAATCAGCCAATTGGGTCAATGGGGATGAGGGATTGAGCCAAGCCAAGGTTCAAGTGTATCTAAACTTGATTTGGGCTCTAAATGGGCTAAGTGGTCAACCTTGGTTGACTTGGTCAACCGGGTTAACCCAGGGTCCAAGTCCAGGCTCAACAGACTCGACTCGACTCACTAAACCCATTGGGGAGGGTCTTGGGGTCTGGCTTGGTCAATTTGACCAAGTTAACCCTTTGACCACGGGTCTGGGCAAAATCGAGGTCAACATCTGCTTGAAGACATTCAAGTTGAATATGTTCAGCTAGTGGTGGAGCTCGAGGGAGAAGAACCTCTTCCCATTGTGGTAATGCTGGCTGTCGTGTCTCTCACAGGAGTTAAATGATCTCGTTTTGAGATTCTTCCATCTTTTGGATTCTCTCTTCTAAGGAAGGTCCCGAGGTTCATTCTCCATCAGCATTTTGCCCCCTAGGGTAAAAAAAGGCAGACATCAGGCGTCTATGATTGATAGACTGACTTCTAGACTGGTGAGAGTTGGAGCGAAAAGCACAAACGATGCAACTGCTACGCTTGTTGACCATTGAAGCAATACTTGAAATTATGGGATAATGTTCCCACAGACGGCGCCAAACTGTTATAGGCTAGAATATACGCGGCGATAGAGTTAGAAAATTTCCTTCTCAGTGTTATATTGATATTTAGGACACAAACATGAGAGAAATAAAAACACCCAGATTTTTACATGGAAAACCCGAGAAAGGAAAAAAACCACAGGGTCACGCCTAGTTGAAAATATTTTACTAGTGTTTGTTTGAGATACAAGAGGCTGACTCATTCTTAGAATTTAGTACGATCATGTTACAATGATTTACCCCCGGATTGAAGTCTAATTACACTCAAGTTGCGTATTCGAGTTGAATTCAGAGTAACTTAAAATTCCGGCGTCACTTGGGCGTCAGATAGAATTCTGGCGTCATTTAAGCAAAATTCTAGCGTTGCTTGGGCAGAATTTCAGCATCGGGAAGAATTCCGACGTCGCTTGGACAGAATTTCAATGTCGGGCAGAATTCTAGCGTCGGGAAGAACTCCTGCGATGGTCGAGGAGTAGTTCTTCCCTCCTATCATTCTCTTATTCTCTTGTTTGAGTCATCCCTCAAGAGAAATGAAGGGTCTATTTATAGATTTTTGGAGTGGCATGACTCATAAATAGGTGAGAGATCAGGGGCAAAGGTGGAGTGATTCGAATGGACGGCTGATATTAAATTCCTTGATCATGTACTGTTTGCCAGACATTTGAAGGTCTTAATGATGTCAAAATTCGACAATCTTGGGTTCGTTCGATTTGTCTTGTTGAGCCGCTCGATTCGACTATAAGCACGTCATATTTGGAAACCGTTTGGTAACTCAAATTGTGGTTTGAACTTTCTAATAGCGCTTCAAGTGCTCAATTTGGACTCATTTGGGCTCAGATTGAGTCGAATTTTGTGTTGTTGAGTTTGTATTTCCGAGACGCTTAGTTTGACTGTAAGTTCGCTAAAATCGCAGTTCACGTGATCCCGGATTTAATTTTTGAAGTTTTTGAATTGATTTGGCTTGAGATTCGTGTCCGATCAAGATAATTTTTTGATGATATATCAATATTTATTTAATAATAATCAAAATACCCTACACAAAATTTTCCACCAAAATAACAAAAGAAGAGGCAATATTTCATCTCATAAAGCCCAGCAAAAACTTAATTATTTCATATTCAATCAAACAATTGATTAAAATGTTAGAATCAGAACTAATTTTTCGTCCGGACATTAAATTATGTCTTCGCGTGATTGAAATATGCAGGTCATAATTTTTACAGATCTCTTAAGACCTTCACCTTCCCTTACTAACGGGGTACCCAATCCCATGCCTAGTCGTCGGAAAAACCACAAAAAGCATGCTGCAAATCACTCCAATTCCAAGAGGAAGTATGTCCAAAACCTCCTTCGTCTTCGTCTCCGGCGACGGGCAAAAGCACTGCACCACGTTCTTGTCTCGCAGAGCCACCGCCACAAAAACCAGAATTGATAGCACCCCGTGCAAGCAATCTATGATCCGTACCTTGTACTTTGACAGATCCGGCAGGGCCGTTAGATCCGGCGGCGGATCGAAGATCCACATGCCTCCCGGCGTCGCCAAGCCGTAGACCACCCGCTCGTCCGAGAGTTGCAAGCTGTCGGTGAAGCAGGCGAGGAAAGCGGAGGATCCGAGGAGGACGAGGAGGACGAGAGTCATTAAGCGAGTGGCGGAGTCGCAGGAGCCATAGTTGGTGAACGATGGGACGAGGAGTTGGAACGCGAGGAGGGTGCCGGTGGGAAGGAGGTTAGCGAGATTGGCGGTGATGGCTAGGGTTTGGGAGAGCGCGGTGGTGGATCGAGGAGAGGGAGAGTAAGAAGGCGGGTTTTTATCATCCGTAAGGATTTGGGATTCTTCCGATGGGAATTTCTCTCGGCTGATTTGGGATTTTTTTGATCTGATAGACATTACTGTCAGCTCAACTCGGAAGGAATGAGATGAGGAGCTCCATGTCTGCGAACTTTACCTTATAGGATTGGATTGGGGAATCGTGCAGACATTACCAATTCACCATTTATTTATTCATTAAACTCAGCTGATGTGATGGATTACCAAATCTTCCGAGTAGAAAAGTTGATCACGAAATGACTTGATCGCCGGAGGAAGAAAACCGTGCATGAAGAAGAAACTGGAATAGAACTCACGCGGAAGGAAGGAAGCATTGATAGTATATTCCACATCTTCACCTATAATTTCAGTATTCTCTATACACATAATCTAATTAGCGTTTCTTAAGCAAACACTAATTAGATTAGCATTTTTTTTAATAAAACGGCGGCGCCCGAAAATCAACTTTTCTACTTTTTTCTTCGTTCTTCTCTCTCCTAAGCTTTTTCTCTCTCTTCAAAATATCTCATTTCCATATATATCCAGACTGATCGTCCCGGACGATCGCACTTCGTCCCGGGACGATCTGGCTCTGGACAAGTGTCGTCCAGACGAGATTTAATTATCGTCCCCGGCGACCGGTCCTCTGGAGCATTTTCGTCCAGACAATCCAAATTTTCGTCCAGACGAACTGCTCAATTTTCACAATTCCGACCAAACCTGTACCGATCGTCCCGGGACGGTCCAACTTCGTCCCGGACGATCCTGGAGCAAAGCGATCTTCACAATAGCAATCCCGTCTCCGTTCCGGGTTAGGGTTGTCGGGCCGCGCGGTAAATAGTGAGAACACGTGGCACTATTTTATTGGCGTCCGAACGTAAAACTACGTTAGGTGACCGGACCAAATAAAGTATATGACATGCATTTCCAAAGATCAATTTATAGGGAGACATTCCAATATGTTGTCTTAAATGCAATCATGTAAGTCCAAAACACGTCATCTAATCTTAAAGTCTAAGCCTTCCTATTTGGACTTATTCTAAGATTTTCTTAATCTCCATATTACTTAATTTAGCCTAGCCACTAGTTTAAGGATGATAAATAGTTGCAACTCTATGTTTAATGCATATTTAAATATTAATGCCTCTATTTTCTTATTGAAAGAATGACTTCCTCATCACTAATAATAACATTAAGTATTCGAAATCTATAATTTTTTTTTTGTTTAAAAATTTAATAACTATATGAGCATCCATTTAAAGGGTTGTCACTGCCTCAATCAATTTGAAGACATTTTCAACTACTATTAAAATATAATGACTTTCATAAGATTGCATAAAAGGTCCATAAAGTTTAAAAAATATCCCCTTCAATTTGGTCCCATGATGAATTACATTTTATAAATAACTCAAGCAATGCCTCAAGGGGCATTTCTAGAATTATGATTAATGAATTATAAACAATGACTCAAGAACATGGGTTTGATAGTACCTCAAGCTGAATCCATAGAGCCTAAAAACATGAAAATTAGACAAGTGAAAGAGGAGATATGAATTTTCAAAGGTTTTCTGATTTTCTATTGAAATTAATCCATATTTATCTACTCAGCTCACCCTTTCCTTGCGGTGCGCTATGATAGGGTAGCTAATGATTGGCGCACTAATGATAATCCACACAGTTTTGATCTGAATCGTTAGATCAAGATCAGACGGCTAAGGTTTAAAGCTTCAAAACCGTGGGACAATCGAACTGAGTACGATACGATGGAATCAAGATCTTCATTTGAGATTTCATCTTAAACCTCCCATTCATTTTATTGACTTCATCATAGTATTTTGATTGTAATATTTTACTTACATGAATTTTTTGTGCACCAGTGAAAATCATTAATTATAGTTATTATTGTGAATCAATAACAACAACATCAAGTCTTTGTCCCACTACGTGAGATCTGTTATATGAATTCTTTTTCTCCATTGTGTCATGTTAAAAGTCAAATTATATGCAAATTCCAGCTTGATCTTGAAGACTGACTAGACCAAATGAGATAAAATTTCACATAGAGCATCAATGAACCAAGAATATTCAATCCAATGGTTTGATCCGTGTGGATTGAATGTTTTGTTCACACTTGCTCAGACCCTCTTAGGCTAGGGATTAGAAATAGAAGAATACCTGATCATATAGAGCTCTGAGTGCCTCGGCCTAAGCATAGGCGTGATCAACTAAATCCCTATAAGCTTTTCTTCTTAAGAGGCTAGCTTGGCTTGAAGAGAAATGGATCGGAAGATGCACTTTCACAGTGGAACGACATCGCCAGAACTCACTCGAAGTCTCTGAAAGACCTCACACAGGCAACTGAGAAGCAAGGGAAAGGGAGCTCTTGCAGTCATGAAGCTAAATGAAACGGATATCCAAACCCTTGTTCAGAGAATTTTTTGGCTATTTATAGGTTTCAGATTTGAACAGAGATGAGCTTTTGACTTGATTCATACCCTCTTAGACTATTGGGTCGTGTTAGACAGGTCACATCATATCCAGGGATGATTTTTCAAAGGTTTAAGGGTTTGGGTTGGCTTGGATTGCATGAGCTAGTTTGACCCATGGGTCACATAATGATGATTATCAAGATTACAACTGGATTCAATCAAGCCAGGCTAGCAGCTTAGGTGGCAGGCCTCCTGGAATGTTCTTGATCAGTTCAATAGAGGTGCTAACTGGGCTTAGGTAGATCGGGTTATGCAAGGTATGTGGATTTAGGTTCTTTGGGTGACCTTAAGCTAGCTCAAAGTGTTGACTATGGTCAGCCTAAGGGCTAGGCTGACCAAGGTAGATGTAATAGATCATGAGAAATACAATGGTAATATTTATTTGGACTGGTTTAGTCTATGCTTGGATTTGGCTCAATGCATGGCTATTTTGACCACTTGGGACAAACCAAGTGGCTAACACAAGTGAGCCTAAGGCAAGTTTCTAGGGATCATATAAATAGCCTTATAAGTTTGAATGAGCTTAATCAAGCTTTGGCCAGTGAATATGCAAAGGATTTTAATGTATACAAGCTTGGTCAACCAAGTTGACCCAAAGGTCGGGGTTAGCTCCATTACATTCCAAATAAAGTTTTGAGTTTATTGGTGGTGATTCCAATGCTTGGCAAGGTCTGAATGCGTGAAATATATGTTAACCAATGGGCTAGGGTTAGATTCAAACCATTCCAAGTGATGTATTGAACACATTGGAGAAGGTTCCATGTAATGGAAAAGCTCAAATGCATGAGATGTAGTTTTAGGGTTTAATAACTTCATATAATGAACCAAGGTTGAACACAGCGGCAGAGTTATAAATTTTATTCCATGGGGGTTAAATTCAAATAGTTTTGTTTGCCGTCTCATCTGGAAGATTAAAATACATTAAAATAATTTTGTTTGCCGTCTCATTGCCAGAGCCATGATGAGCTATAAGATCAATTAGATTATTCTGTGATCTTAAATTATTATTATTTTGTGTGGACACCGAATGTATCCAATATTTTTAAATGAAAATTTACATTAATAAATTAAAAAAAATATCTTGATAAATAGTTATATTAGAAATAAATCTAATTAGATTATGATTTTCCTTTCATTTTAAAATGTTTATTAACATATATAAACACAAACAAGCGCGCGCGCGCGCACACACACATATATATATATAGAGAGAGAGAGAGAGAGAGAGAATATATAGAGAGAGAGAGAGAGAGAGAGAGAGAGAGAGAGAGAGAGAGAGAGAGAGAGAGAAGAATAAAGTTATATTAATATGATAAGTGATAAATAAAATTTTAGATATAAGTAAATAGAAAATATATGAATTAATAATAATTGTTTTTATGAAAAACGAAAGTTATTTATATGAATTAATAATAATTATCTTTTATAAAAAATGAGACTTACTTCTATACATTTTGATACGTCATCATGAAATTATATTGATCGGGCACGAATCTCGAGGCAAAACCCAAATTGGAATCTTTAAAAATTAATTCGGAGACCATCTGAACTCTGATTTCAGCAAACTTACAGTCGAACTGAGCGTCTCAGAAATACAAACCCAACGACACCAAATTCAACTGGATCCGAGCCCAAATGGGTCCGAATCATGGACCCGAAGCGCTATTGGAAGGTTCAAACCGCAATTTGAGTTACCAAACGGACTTCGATTTTGACGAGCTTATACTCGAATCGAAGGGCTCGACGAGACGAATCCAACGAGCCCAAGATCACAGAATTCCGACATCACTAAGACCTTCAAATGTCCAATGAACGGTGCACGATCGTAGGATTCAATATCGGCCGTCCATTTGACCACTCCCTATTCGCCCCTGATCTCACACCTATTTACGGG